TAATAACTTCCTTCAAATTCGTTTTGATTCTTTCTTCTACTAAATATATTGTTGAGCCCTTTCAGTGTATTTAGTATAAGTGTAAAAATGTCTGTTTCCAGAATTTCTATTTCATCCCTTTTAAAGTATCTTTATAGCTGATATTTTCCTTTGGTTATTTAAATATGGTTCTTTAGCTCTTTGAGCAGATTTAAAACAGCTGAATTAAAGTCTTGCTGTAGTAAGAGTAATGTCTGTTTCCAGGCACCATTCCTTTTGATTGTTTAATCCTGGGTATGGGCTGTATCGCCTTTTTTTTTTTTTCTGGTACCGGGACTTGAACTCATGACCTCGCGCTTGCCAGGCAGGCGCTGTGCCGCTGAGCTAAATCCCCAGCCCCTGTATTGTGTTCTTGTCATGAAATACTTTTGTTGAAAATTTGACATTTTTAATAACAATGTGCCAACCCTAGCAGTTTCTCCATAATCCCCAGGTTTGTTGCAGGGTTTTTTGGTTTTGTTTATTGGCAGTGTTGTGTGGTGACATTTATGAAACACTTTTGCAAAGTTTGATATTCATTGTTGGTATGTCCACTTTTGTCTCTACTCAATTAGTACAGTGATCACTTAATAAATGGTAGATTTCTTGAGTCATTCTTCCCAGTTATTGTGGGGAGGCTCTGTGCATGTTGGGACATGCTGTCTATACTCACGCAGGCAGTTTTACATACCGGTTGTGCAACACCCGAGTCAGTAATAACATGAGAGCTTAGTCTTTTCAGGTCTTTACATGTGTGGCATGGTCTAGATTTGAAACGTTTTTCTAATCACATCCTTATTAGTGGTCTTTGTTTCTTGTCCCAACAAAAATCTTTGCTTATCTAGTAGCTTTATGGATTCTTAATTCAGTTCAATACTGAGGATCATTTATTTTTTGTGTATTAAATAAAGTTCATTCTTCCGTAAGTATATCTTTTTGTTCCAGTACTATTAGTTGATTTCCCCACTGCAATAAATGACTAGGTTCCTTGATTTAAAAAATCAATTAACAATATGTGTGTAGATCTATTTCTGGATTCTCTTCTGTTCTATTGATGTTTGTCAATTCCTATGATGAAAACCACAGTCTTGATTATTGTGGCTTTATAGCAAGCTTTTTCAAAATTATTTCTGTTACGTTAAATTTCTTTCACTCTCATATGAATCTTAAAACAGCCATCAACTTCTTTAAAAAGATGCATTGAATTTCTTGTGTAGTGCAAAATCCACACTTAGGTTCATATTAGGGCCCTAGTTCTGCCAATGTTTTTCTTCTTTTATTGTGATGTAAAAATTAGAAATGTGCAGTGTGTGTGTGTGTGTGTGTGTGTGTGTCTGTGTATGACGCAGAACCCCGCCAGCTATCTCTAAATTCATCAAATCCAGCGTCTTATGTATGTTAGGCAAATGTTCTAGCTCTGAGCTGCAGTGCTTTTTAAGTTTTATTTTGAAACAGGGTCTTGAAGTGCCCAGGCTGGCCTCAAACTTTGACCCTCCTGGCTCAGTCTCTGAAGTGGTTAAGTCCTGAACTTACAAACAAGTTCAGTGCTGGGAGAATGTTCGTTAAGTTGAATTTGTGAGTCTTATACACTTTGACACAAATATACAATGTGAAGCATAAAATATCCAAACACACACACATGGACACATACTGGAAATAAGCTATTTTTACTCCCGCAGTTACCTTAAAATGGTGGTACACCCGGCATATAGGGACTGTATGGAGTGAACGGACAAGTTACTAACTGGAGGCGGGCAGTGAGAGATGGTGGAGATAAAGGCTCGTCAGCAACAGGAGATGGGGACAAGAGGGAATTTTGCTCACACCAGTTTGGCAGCACAGGTTTTTGATGGATTCCGTTCTGTCCACCGCTTGAAAAAATGATCGTAGTAGTAGCTCTTTTGGTCTCATCACAGAAGACTTAGAGCACGAATGGCACAAAGAATAGCTTCTGCAACCTTTCTGTATCATTCTATCTTGGGGTCCTGCACCTCAAAAACTAACAGCGCCTCTTCAAGGAAAGAAAATCCCCTTGCTAGATCCTGTGTTGTGAACCTCTTTGGTTCTCCATCTGCATGTTACTCTTGCTCTCTTCAACTTTTCACTGGGCCTCTGGTTCCATCCGGTCCTCACTGGTCAGCTCGTGCTGCACAGCAAGGTCAGTGAGGTCGTCCTCTTGCAGGTCCAGCTCCAACTTCTTGCTAAGGGTCACCAAGCTGTTGAAGACCTCTTTGGCTTCCTTCCCACCTTCTCAAGTCCATGAACTTCATTAACAAACTGTGGGCAAAGGTTCTTCCAACCCCATTCATGGTGACAGCTGAAGCCTCATGCCAAGCAAAGTTGATGTCTTTTATGGCCTTGTAGATGTTATAGCTCTTGCAAAATTGCTGCAAGGTTGTTCTTGTTTTATCAGTTGCCATCACTGCCTGACAAAGGTGTGACATACATCATATTTTTAAAGTTTCACATTCATGGAAAGTCGCAATAACTTCCTGGTCTATAGGTTGTACGAGTGCCATGGTATTCAGTGGTAGATGCACTACTTTGATGTTGGCATGAAAGCCATCCATGAATTGGGGGTGACCCGGTGCACTGTCAAGCAGTAGAAGAATGTTGAAAGGCTTACCTTCTTCCAAACAGTATTTCTCTATCTCTGGGATAAAGAGGTGGAAAAACTAGCCCTGGAAAATAGCTTGTGTAACCCATACTTTGGAGTTACTTTTCCACACAACAGATAGAAAGCCCTTGCTTATGTTTTTGAGGGCTCTTAGGTCCTCTGCTGCTTTAAAGCTTGGCATCAACTTTTCGTATTTATTGTTCTGGCATCCTCTCCCAGTACAGTTCTGTCTCATCAGTGTTAAAGACCTGTTGGGGTAAATAAGCACCTTCATCAATAATTTCTCTAAGCGTTTCTGGAAATTCTTGGGCAACTATGGTATCTGCACTCACAGCCTCTCCACTTTCACACTGTGAAGGTTTTTTCTTCAATATGCATTTCACTGGGGGGGACTCGACACTGACGCTGATCCTGTGTCTAAAGTGAGAAGTTTTTCCATCTCCTCTGTCACTGTACCGCACTTTTTGGATATTATGGCTCACTTCATTGGCAAAGCAGGTTTCACATGTTCCATGTGAATGATTCACATTATAAGAATGAGAGACATCTACCACCTGTTTGCCTTGGTCCAATTATTTTTATTGTTGTCTCCATGGTTATTGCTTTGTACTTCCTAGCAGTCCCCTCCACAACACCAGCGCTTTTCCTGTTGCTTCCGGACATCCTGGGCTCCGACTGAGCACTGCACTACTGTACACATCACACTGAACAGTAAGCGCACAGCAGAGCAGCTGTGACAATGTCCGACAGACACAAGAGCTCATCTGCAATTTGTTCGCATCTACAAATGTTCATAATTTGAGGTCCGTTCATATCTGTGATAGTTTGCAACTTGAATGTTAGTAAGATGGGAACTTCCTGTTGCTGGTATTATAGATTTCAGAGAAGTACCACTACACATCCAGCTTTTACTTGTTCTTTAGGGATGTTAGCACCTATTTTTAGTTTCACATGAATGAAAATATATTGTACACATGTGTAGTTTACCTTTACTCCTCAAAGACCTCCGTATTCATAATTCTGCTTTATCAGTTACACTATGCCAGCACAAACTTTCAGCATTTTTCCCAATATTTTTAGACATGTTCACTAAGAAAGATTGGTCCTGCTGTGACTGGAAATGAGATTTTGGAAATTTTAATACAATTAGGATTTTATTTTACATACTGTTTTATAACTCTAAAAAATGTAACCTGAAATTTTTTCTCATGTGATTATTTATTTTTATGACTGTACATATCCCACTATAAGAAGCAGGCACTTGATTTTGCACACCTGTGAAATTTACACATTCACTGGTGCCTTTGTACTGGAATTGCTACATGAGATGATTTTTTTCATATGGAGTAACATACATTAAGACTTGAGTGTAGAAGAGAACTGGCTATTATTTTTTCCCTAAGGGATCTTAGGCAGAAATACTGTGAAATTTATGTGAAAATAAATCATCATCAACCCATTTATTCATGGATCGTCCAGTATTTTCTCAACAGTGTGCTGCTGAAATGATTAGGAATTTAAGAAATATGAGCATGCAATCTGTCGGGGGGCCATTTAAATCCAGCTAGCTCCCAGACACAGAAAGCAGATCTCTTGTGGACTGTGCTGTCAATAGTGTGAGAACTATATGAGGAATCTAACATAAAATATTAGTATATCAGTGTACCTTAATGTTAGAAGTGTAAATTTAAAAATATTAGTTTGTTGTTCATATCATGAACTGTGGGTAGGAGAGTAGAATCATGGTAGTCCAGATGATTCTAAGAATCTTTCTGTGAAAGAAAAGACATTACGCAAACTATTGCTTTTTTTCTAAAGCACAGGTTGGGAGGCAAGTAGCTCTCCAACATGTTCCATTGACACAGGGTGCATGATACTGTACTTCTCATAAGGAAATATTATAACTTCAAGTTGATGCCCAAGCTGGCTGTTTGGAAATGATAACTAATACACAGGAGCTGTCATTTGCATATTGTTTTTAACATACATTTTCTTCTTTTGTTTACAATAACACAGAACCGAAAGTAAAACTGGGCTTCCAACACGAGGAAAATGGTGTATCTGCCAAACGTAGATGAATGACAAAATAATATTAATAAACTGGCCAGTGCATCCTCCTTAGCTGTTACTACTAACCTTTCATGTAAAGCAATGTTATTAAGCAAAGCAATTGATTTGTTTCTGATATTTCTTTTATGCCCTAGACACAAGTGATATTTATTCTTTTTCAAATATAGACAGTTAAATTATTGGTTTCACTTAAACAATAGGATTCCCACCACTCCGTTTGTCACTATCAAAGCAATTCAATCAGTATTTGGAACTAAAATACCACAAGTAAAAATAAAATCACATGTAACACTCATTTTAGGAGATTAAAAGTTTACTTAAAAATTGCAGACAATTAGCAAAGATAAGACAAACACTTTTTCCTATTCATACAAATACAGTAACTTATAGCTGGCTTGGTACACGGTCACATGTTAAAAGTAAATCTAATGGAGAAAAAAATGGTTCATTCTATTTATCTGCCATTTATCATCATGTAATAAGTATACCAGTAACTACTGGAAAACAACTGCATAGAAAGTTTAGAATCCTAGCGCTGTTGGTTAATACACATTATATAAGAATACAAAAACAAAATAGGTACAGATATACAATTAACATGCAAGTTAAACTGTTATTTTGAAGAAACAGGACAGAATTTAGTAAATACAACTGAAAACTGTTACTAATATGTTGTTCTCATGGTATTTTACATGGCATAGAATTTCTTCCACCTTAAAAAATGTTTGGCAAACTAGAACAGGTTCTTATTTTTAGAGTAACTTTAAGAGGAAGGAAAACAAGTGGTAATTCTATTAAATGCTTTTCTAAACACTCTGAAATTTTTTTAAATGCCATAATCTCATGCTTCTCACCTCCAAATTTAAAACAAAGTCATGCATCGTATTCTCTACAACCTGCACTGTCCTGTATCGTAGTCCCAAGCCACACAGGGCTGCTGAGTACCTGAACGTAGCCATTCAGAACTGAGATGTGCTGGGATTACAAAATATATGTGAAATTTTGCATACAGGAACAACAGAAGGTAAGATATCGAATTAATAGTTTTACAATGACTGCATGTTGAAATAAATATAATCTTTTTTATCATGATAACAATATTAAAAATTACTTTGTGGGTCACATTATATTCCTATTGAACAGTACAGCTATGGGTAATACATAGTCATTATATTGGCCTTAGAATTTACCATCACTATTCGGGCACTCTGGGGTATTACTCCCAGAACACTGTAAGTGCACTCTGCACAAAATGTACTGCAAAATTTATTCTTCTTATGCCTCTGCAATTTGAAGATTTCACAAAATATGTAATCCTTAGAAAATGTCAATTACTATGAAAGAACTTCAATGCAAACTGCTACTATACTGGGGGAAAACAGATTTAAGAAATGCAGCAGTGCACTCAGTGAAGACAATTAGTACCACTGTTAAAACAGGTTAGTGAAACTAATCTTTTTTTTGGGTACTTTGAATTGAACTCAGGGCCTCAAGCTTGCCAGGCAGGCAGTGTGCCACTGAGCTACATCCCTGATGAAACTAATCTTTAATTTCTGGGATTTGACCTGCATCACAGATCATATATACAACCAGTCTATTTGAAGAAAATCTACAAGACAATCTTAAAATGGCATTGACTCCAATTTATGACCTTTAAGTTTCTTACTGCTGAACTAATAAGCAAGAGACTACGTGTCCAAGATACTTGGATTAAAAAAAATTTAGAAGATATTAAAGATATCATTACTAGTTTTTGCCCTTTTTCTCCCTCTCTTCTTCCTTTTTTTCTTTCTTTTTTACGATTTTATAGAAGAGTACCTAAATATTTGGCGTATCTATAATGCCTCATCTTTCCAACTCAAAAACAGTAAGTGAATCTAGTATACAGTCCATTATTCTCCTTGAACATAATGTACCAAATATAATACTCACAGTGGTCACTTCAGTCAAAAGCCAGCATCAGTCATGCATCCAGCCCTCCCACTAAGCCAGTGTCTAATTATACTCATACTGTACAACTGGTTCCTCATAGCTCAGGTAGGAATGTTTCCAAAAACTGTTTAATCTTTTTATATTAGGTAAACTGACAACATTGCTGTAAAAGCCACAAGGGAACAGGTAATGAAACTGTAGTACTGTATTATTCATAAAAACTTCTTCCTTGTATTAAAGATGTCTTGGGAAATAAGTAAGTAGAAAGTTATTTAACATACCTTTGCATTTTACCATTACCACGACACTGGAAAGCAACGAGGATTTAGGGAGAAATAAAAATAACCTAAACTAGATGGTACAGGGCATACCAATACAGAAACTGCAGAAGACTACAGCAGTTTTTCTTAAGAGTTCAGTTGCCTGTTTTTTAAGACATTCATTTCATCACATTTAGTAATGTGCCTTACACAGGAAGATACAACTTAAATTTTTTACATCTCCTGTTTTCAAACCATGTACATAAAGTATTTTAATTATATGTTACTAACTCTAGCCTAAAAACCCTAGTAATTCATGTCAAGTGAAATAATTTTTCAGTTGCTCATATATATTACTCTACAATATACTTCTCAGTGAAAAGATGATCATGGTCTCTGAAACTGCTGAAAACTCACTGTTAGATATTAGATCAATATTCAGTTATTTACTGAACACCTACCATGATTGTACTCTGTCTATATTCATTCTTTAACAAATAAGAAAAAAATATCTGCTCCAAATGCATGGCTTTGATGAAGAAGGACATGTACGAGCATTTCTGATAGAATGCTGTTTGAGTCAACATTTGGACATGTGAAATTATAAATCCTTCTGACATAAAAAAATAATCAAATGCATTATCTATCACTTTATAAACATAAATAATCTAATGTATGCTGCACAGTACTTTAAGGAAAGTGATTGGCAGACATAAAATAAAGGTTGATTCCCTGAATAAAAGGAATAAAAACCAGAATGATACGATGTATAAACCACTAAAGACTTAATATAAGCAGTTTATACAACTATCTAATCAGGGCAAACTGGTACTCGTGTTACACTTCCAACTTTGCCCGAGGGGCGGGGGCGCAGTTGGCCTAGTAAAGAAAACTGACTTATGAACACTAAACAAATACAAAAATAAAAATTCTCTGGATAAAATTCTTTGTAAAAATCATCATATAAATTCAAACTCCAAATGTGGTATGTGTGTGCACAGATACACGTATCTTAATTTTGCTATCTTAGAAGCATCTGAATTTCACTTGCAATGTTGTGGAACTGTGTATCTTTACCTTGTGTATTTGAATCTGCTTTTATATTTCATGTAAAATGGGTGCATTTCACTTGAAACCACCAAAAGAATGCAGACCATGATGAGACAGAACTAGTTTTTCCTCTCTAGCTTGTATCTATTCTGACTTGAGCCTACACCATGCAAGGCATTTACGCAATGTGTTCAACATGTACAAGACTTGCACATAAAACTCTCAGGGAAACAGAAGTCTAGGAAGCAAAACAGTAGTCAAATTGAAAACCAACAGTAATCATTTTCCTCAGTAGGATTTCTGAAAATTGAGAAGGATGTCAAATAAATAAACATGATCTTGCCTACCTCCCAACATGGAAAAATAATACGGAAGTCATTCCCATGGAAGACACACATGAGATAATGATCCGAAATGAGCCATAGGGTCTAAAGCAGCAAGGTGAACAATGAGGCAGTCATAGAGCATCTACTAGCTACTATGCTGGTAGTGGTTTATAAAAAATAGTATATATATATTAAAATGTTAAGACCTAGTAATATATTTAACTTATTTTTGCTTTTTCTTTTTTTGCCACTAAATATAAAATTTTGTTCTAAATTGACTACATCTTTTACACCCTGAGGAATAACAACAGACCAATCAAAGAAATATCAGGGTTAGCTTTGTGGATCCTACTATTGTCCATAAAGCAAAAACTATATATAGCTACTATTCTTGGAAGCACAATGTTTGACCAGCAGACTAAGCTACTGCCTTACATGATATATTTTTAGCAAAGAGTTTGGTTTTACAGTGCTCCCATGGCCTGGTACGAGTAGAGAGACAAAATTGGGAGCCTGAGGTCTCCCCTCCCGTACCAGAGCTACAACGGATACACTGGTTTCGTCTTTACTGTGAGCACAGCGTATCACTGCCCTTTAGGAATACATATTTAAGAAAATTCTGTAAAGCACTTTGGAATCTTAACTATATTTTTATGAAATTACAACAAGGAATTATTTGCTGTTGTGAAATACGAAATTCCTATCCCTCTCCCTCATACACAAATATATAAAATGACACATTTAAAAATTTATCTCAGTGTTTACTTTTTCTCATATCTGAAAAAAAGGCATAACCCTAACCCCCCCCCCCCCGCAACTATCCTATATCGTGCTGAATCTGGAAAGGAAGGAAGCTCCTTAAAGTAAGGCAAAGGATTCATTTAGGACAACCATCTGATCTTTATTTTGAGGCAGGGTGTCAGTTTCCCTTTGAACACACGCTGTATAGGTTTCAGGCTGTCTTTAATTGTGCATGTTATCACCCTCTAATGTGATGCCTCTAAACCCCAAAATGTTGGTTGTCTGAGAGAAATAACTACTTGGTATGATGCCTAAAAACATTTGCTAATTAAATACAGGGTATTAGGATCCTACCTTCTTCAATTAGTGTATCATATGATAAAATACCCCACGGGACCATGCCTAGCTATGGGAATAAATAATGAACCATAATCAGATATTTGATAAAACTTTCATACTCTGATTTCTATTTAAACATTAAATTCACTGTAATATAATAATTTCTTGCTTCTCTTAAAAGTTAAGAAAGGCACTCAAGTTAACACAGTAAGTACAGCTATTTTATGAAAGACACCATGTGGTGGAAGTAAAGTTATTGGGGTTTATTTTTCCTGCTCACGGCCTTAGTGACACTGAACTTGCCTGAATTTTTCAGCGCCTCCATAAAGGTCTCTAACTAATACAAAGAAGTTCATTACAGAGCATGGGCAGCAATAGCACAAAAACTGCTACAGTTTGTGATTCTATTTGAGGAACTCATTCAAAAGGCAGAAAGGTCCAGTTGTTACAGTGTTGTTCAAATTTCTTAGCATACTGTAAATATCTTAAAGTATCAAAATATAGTTTTCTAGTAACAAAATAACAGTAAATTGAAAAGGGTTTTTTGCAAAAAAAAAGAAAAAGATCCTGTTACTTCCTTTTACAATTAAAATGTTAGCATTGTCCATAATTCAAAGGAACTAGAGTAGAGACCATTATACAGTAATTGGTAATTCCACTTTTAAACTGCATTTAGCCCATTGTCAGGTATCATTTTGTGCTATATAAAGGAAAATTCTAAGACTGACGATTTGTAGCAATATTACAAGTTTCTCTCTCTCTCACACACACACACATACACAGCATGAACTGGTAGCTGAATATATCTAAATTACACCATGTTTACTATATATGCTGCTTTCCATAAAACCCCCAAATTTTTGTTTCCACAACTGATGTCACATGAGGCCTTATTTGAAGATATAAGTGGCTTTTAGTGACAATTTGTATACATTAATCCCTAGTAATAATTAATGAAGAAGGGTACAATCCCTAGCACTGCAAAAAAAAAAAAAAGATTGAAGCTTTTAACTTAAATTAGAACCATCTCATAGAAGTAAGAAATAAGACTGAAATCTGGGCCCAGAGTTTCTGAGGAGGTAATAGGGGATATATTGCTACGTATCAAGTCTTTAATCTTAAAAAATGACTCACACAGGGTTAGGCAGTATCTAAAAGGTCCGCAGTTCAGGTTGGAGGCTAAGTCACTAAACTCAAAGAATTTCTTCACTCTCTGCCCAAAGTGGCTTTCACCATCATAAGTGAGCAGAAAGCAGCATTCTTAGTGCAGGTGACTTTCATCTGCTCTGTGAGCTTTTAATAAATACAAAAGTTCAACTGATAAATCTAGAGCTACATTTCTTGGCTGAGATTTAACAAGTTAAAATAAGGTAATGAAATGAAAAGAACAAATCTAAATTAACTTATTCTAGATGTGATAGTTCTCCCTAAACATTATGAAGCTACAAGACATCATTTACCACAACCCACTTATTCTTCTCAATCATCATTCTTCCTACCACTCATGACTAATCTTTCCTTTCTTCAGATAATCAGTCATCAATAAGTACCTACTAACTCCTCGTAGTGTGCCAGGCACACAGTAGGACATGGAAATAATTCATTGCCAACGTAGATATACTTAAAAAATAAAAAAAGGTAGGGCAAGGGTTATGGTGGGCGTAGTTACAGATCTTATTGCTTTTTGCTTATCAGTAGTATTCGATGAAAACGTGTCAATCTTACATATTTTCAGAAAAATAAAACTAATGAGCCCTTGAAAATAGACATATTCATTTTACTGCATGAACTCATTTAGTCAAAGATATATTATTATGTTAGTGGGTTTAAATGTCAAGCACTTAAGAAAAAAACCATAACCATATGGGGCAATCGTAAGTTTTCTTGTGAATGAACACTCAAGAAATACGTATTTGAGAAATAAAGTGGCACACAAAAGTCACATACTAACAGTATCCTTTGGATATTTGTACTTTTTTACTCCCTACTTAAAACTTTATTTGGAAGACGAAGAGACCAAGGACATTAAAGGACCGCATGGCTTCAGAAAGTGGTGGGTTGCGCTTCAGAAGATATGAAGGCAGTTAACATGAGAGACGGGCAAGACACTGAGAGATACTGAACGAAAGGTATACAAAGGCATGGAGTATCACAAACATTTAGCTAATGCTCATATAATATTATCTGTAATCATGCCCCAATAGGTACTCAGGTCAAAGTATAAGAAGCCCTATTGTTTGGGATACTAAAAATGATGCTTAGAAAAAAGGTAATACTGAGTAAGGCCAGACTGTGGCAACATGTACTACTGGAATGGATGGAACCTCCCATGTCTTTTCCGGGTAGTTTCTACCCAACCCCCACAGGAGCTGAAAATCATAAATATGATTTTATCCACAGGTCTACAAATGAGATATCTGATTCATAATATGCTTTGTACATAGGGCCATGGAATTATGTTCACAATGGCAATTATTTTCTCAGTTTATGACAAGTATTTTTTGCCCTAAGAAAGAAGAGGAACACCTGTCTATTGGGACCAGGCTAGGTAATTTTTCTGCTGTTCTTAAGTGTGCCACTCAGTTCAACAGTCTGCCATTCAAAAAACCATGATGCTGAAATAAAGAACCTGTTTCTTTTCCCTTAAAGCAGTGCACCTGACTCAAGTCCAGACCTGCCATGAGAATGAGACAGGAAGGGCTTGCCTTTCCCTATATCCTTCCTCCCACTGCACAGATTAGGAAAATAGAGAAAGACTGGTAGTCACACTTACTGCTATAATTATTATTTAAATTTACACCCACGTACGACAAGAGACAGCTTCTATTCTTACAGAAACTTTTAGAGGGGGCAGCTCTTATTTCAATTTCCTCTGCAACTGTGCGTGTGTGTGTGTGTGTGTGTGTGTGTGTGTGTGTGTGTAGATGCATGAAATTCATTCAATAGAGGGGGTTAACAGCTTCAGTAGGTGTTCCTGATATTAAGACAGAAGGAAGAAGAAAATATACAAATGTGAAAGTGACAAAACCATGGAATTGGCAAAATAAAGAGAAAGGCATGTAGAAAGAAGAAACACACCATTTTATACAGGAGGGAAAAGCATGACACAGACATGACCTGACCCTTCTTCCACCCCTACACTGCCGACCTGAAAAACTGAGCCCTTGTTATTGAAAAGATAAAATAGAGCTTACAATGCGATACTTTGGCATGGCAACCCTGACAAAATTCTGTTTCAAAGTGTTTTGTTTCATTTTTAAAATCAAAGAGCTAATCTCTAAAATTGTTCTTTCCCCCCAGCTTTTGCCAACAAACTTTTTAATAAGCACTTGACAAAAATTTTGTAATTTATCCAGTATAACCTCAATAACTTAAATTAAGGAAATTTTTTTACTAATACATTTCTATATGTATTTTTCACTTTATATGAGTGATTATGGAAGGAAAAAGGCAGTAATAACTAAAAATGGCATTCTGGGATTTAAAAAACAAATTTATTTTATAAGGGCTGACTTGACTGTTTTGGTATATACCAAATATGAGGTAAAAACAATCTATTAAAAATAGTAATAAAATTAATTTTCCAGTACTGCAATTATATACACCCCTCCTTTAAGGTAACTATCTAAAAAATGGATTATATTGGAGGCAGTTTTTGATGTAAGTTCCAATACTTTTGACTTTGGTTATCTTAAGTCTGTAACTTGAATAGAACATGCTAGAGATGGAGAATTGGTTTATATTTCCCTATATCCATTAATCTAGCCATTTGATTTTCAAAACAACAGTAAGATCAAGTCCTTCTGTAGTTGTATTAATGTTCTTCAGCTGAAACACAACATAAATTCTTAACAAAATTTGCATACGTAGCAATTGAACTGAAGTGGGCAGAGATACTTGTGAATCAAATGAGAAGCCCCACATATACAAAGGATGAGGAGTAAAAAAAGAAAAAAAATAAGACTATTTAGCAGGAAGAAATTATGTAATTACTTTACCCCCAAAGGAATGCCAATTCTTAAAATAAATAGAAGATTTCCTATGGACCTTTAACCTAAAGGAGAGGAACACAGTCAGCTTCATAGCAAAGTTCATGCAACTATGTCAATGAGACAGGAAAGCAATATTGCACTAAAAGGGGAACCCTGTGGGATTAATCCTCCTCTTTCATTGACTCAAAGTCACCAGCCATTTCCTGTATGCATTGGCATACCTGGCTTGTTCTACATTCCGGCAAGTGGATAACACTTGATCAATAAACCTGTGCTCCATTTCTAGGCCCAAAGAGTCTGTAGCTGGGGTCCGCTTCAGGCGTTTGGTTTCCTGGGAATAGCCTTGCTTGCTACAGTCGTTCAGTCCATCCACTTCCATTGCTTGAGACAGATGGGGGCCTCCAGGGACGAGGTGTAAGTCACTCAGTGTCTCCCCAGGGCTGTCTGCAGGTGACACCTGTGTCATGCTGTGAGGAAGCCTGCTACTGAAGTGATGCTGAAGATAGAAAATATGCCGCCTATGATGGAGGAGGGAAAGAAAAAAAATAAAATCACATCAAAAAAGTCAAACTTTTGGGAGGAAGAAGTTGGTCATTTCAAAGTATCCAGTACAGAGTCTGCTGCCCACTTCATCATCCCAAGATATCTGGGGGAAGGAGGAAAAACAGCTGAAATGAGGCTTCTGGATATCTGGAGAAAGGCCTTCAACGCTAGCTTCCTGGTTTGTGAGAAAGACTACTACACTAAAGGCTTTTCAACAGGCATTTACTGAGATGATAACAACGACCTGGCACTGTTATTCTCTGATAACTATGATATGAAAAGTAGAAACAGGTCTTAGCCCAGTATGCCTTAAGTTATTATATAAATAAAACAAAAACCTTATTGCACTGTTATCTATTCAACAACTAGAGGGAGTAAATGGTTTCTCCACAAGCTTGGTTTATGGCCTTTATCCAATCCTTTTAAAAGTTACAATAATACATCTGCAGCTGTTGGTCTTATTATCTAGAAATCAACAGAATTTTCTTCTAAATTCATCAATAGTCTTAAAATGTGCTAGGCTCTGAAGACAGCATGTAAAAGATATAGTTCTTCCTTTCCCACTGAGGAAAGCAATGCTCCTGCCTTTAGAATCACCTGGAACTGTTTGCTAAAAATGAAGACCCCTGGGTCTAATCTATAAAGCTTTAATTTGGGGGCAGGGATCTACTATACATAATATGATAAAATGCATAGGTTCTAAGTTATATCTCATCGCTCATATTAGCAGCTCTAAGTCCCTAAAAGATAATTCTATTTGTGTACTCACTGTATATGCTGGAGTAAAGAAGGAATGTATAACGTTTCATTTTATAAAGGGTAAAATGTAAAGAACAGACCAGTTCTCTAATACAGTAGAAAACTAGCCTGTAAAACACACAGGTCATCCTAAGTTTTTTACCCCCTCTTACTCCAATTTTAATTGTCTCAAATCCCGTAAGTCTTGCTATTAAAATACTTAAACACGGGCTGGGGATTTAGCTCAGCAGCAAAGCGCTTGCCTGGCAAGCGCAAGGTCGTGAGTTTGATTCCTGGTACCAGAAGAAAAGACAAAAAAATAAAATAAAATGCTTAAACACAAAACAGCAACAAAGCTCTTTTAACACCAAACCAGTTTCAACCCCCGAATTAAAGTTTTATAGATTAGACACAGGGTTCTTCATTTTTAACAAACAGTTCCAGGTGATTCCAAGAGCAGCAGAACTCCTTTCCTTAGTGGGAAAAGAGGAACTGTATCTTTTAACATGCTTTCTAGTAAGATCCATTTTCTGTTTGAAAATGTGCATTAAGAGAGTCTTGGTTTTAAGAGAAAGGGAGAATTCTCTATTTATGAAGAGGCCAAAAAGGGGCAAGTGACTTCTGCCTTCTGAATACATTTAGTACGGAAATGAGACTGACCAAATTTCTTCAAACAGCCTACAAGAAAGCTCGGGGTAGTGGTGGGTTTTCAACAATTCAAGAAATATATACATTTTTAAAATGCCTACTTCTTGCCCAGTACAAGCTTTTTGTTTGCAAACTTAGAATCTATATTCATGAAGATGGGAGGTACCTCCAAACAGAAAAACACCCAAAATAACTGAAGTAAGGTGGCCACATATCAACTTCATGAAATTTACATTACTGTCAAATGTACTCAAAAGTAGTTTTTTCCTGTGCCTGAAGAAAAATTCCCTATACTTTAAAATTTTTAAAAAAGCGCTGTTTTTATTCTTAAAACCAATACATTTCCTAAGTAAATAATAAATATAGCAAACTTAGACTTATTCTTAGACTCTAATTAATAACCTCAATCCTGATTGTACATCAAAATTACCTGTAAAATTTGTTTCAAAAACAAAACAAAAAGAAATCATAGCACTTAAGTCCACTTAATTCCAGATATCCAAAGAGGAAGTCCAGAAACCTTTGTTTCTTTTTTATTTTGGAAATAACACAGGTTCTTTTGCTGCAGAATCAAGGTTTGAACACCATTACCCTATGCCACGGGAAAAAGCTGCGTGAGGACCTTCATATTGATGATGGTGATGACGATGATGATGATGATATGGTAACACAAACCCTTTTTCTCTCAGTCACAGCTCCACCATCAGATGATCACAATTCACAAACAGGCACAAGTGAGATATAGCAACATCTGCACCTCTTACAAGAACATGCCAAGTTTCACGCAGGAAATGCCCTTGTCCGGTCTCTTACCTATGACACCACAGGGTTTCATGTCCTGGGTAGGAATCAATAAGATCAGTGCTGAATTCCACTTCCTTTTCCAGAAGATGGGAAAGATTTATACTTGGTTCCTCTGTTGAAGCTGCTTCTTCTTCATCTTTTGGAAGACCCAGTGCTGACTCACTTCTCAAAGGGTTCTGCTCCAATACACAATCGTCTATCACAGTTTGGCTAATCAAAGACTTTAACAAAAACTGGCGGTAGTGAAATCCACTGTGGTCTGAAACGTGCATAGATGCCCAATGTTTAGTAGAAGACAGTTCATCAAGAAGAATCTTGCAGGAAGAAAAAAAGGAAGTGAGAAGAATTTCCAAAGGTTTTTCTCTCTCCATTAACACTTGTGATTGCTCTTTGATTTATTCCTTGTTTTTTTTTGATAATCATTCTCATCAGTGTGTTGTATACAATGTCAAGCACAGTACTGTCACTTAGAAGCTTAACACATGTTAGTGTCTCTTTTCCTTATAAAGTAATGGTGATTTTTTAAAACTACAGAATTAAGGATTTGTCCTTTTTTCCTGTGACCCTAACTACACATTCTGATTGACACACAGAGAAAAGCCAAATTCTAAAATAATGATAAACGTGAGTTCTCACTTACAATACTAATGTAGATGGAAAAATATAAATTCAGGAGTTATCTTGACATAAACTTTTTTCTTATATTTAATATGCATACATCTAACTGGTATGAATATGTACTACATCCTTGACAACAGACTCAATGTAATTATTTGTTCTTTACTACAAATGCCATGAGGGGAAAAATCACACTGTTTTGTTTACTACTTAATTCTAAGAGCTTAGCCAAAAACCATGACGCATGAATAACAGGATTTTGCCAGGGGTTGTGACTTTCACTACTTGCCCTAAACTCACCATAAATGATAAAATGTTTTTAAAAAATAGATAAAATTCAGCAGTAAATTATTCACAACTTTATATTACCGATCCTGAAAACTAAAGAAAAGCTGTATTTATGAAAAAATAAATTGGTACTGTCTTGGACAGGTAGCAAACATAAGTAAGTTTTGATCAGTGAAAGGTATTATCAAGACCCAACCACATTCTGTGAAAATTTTCAGACCTGCTAAGGAAAAGAGACATAGACCTGTGAATATACAGGCAGCACAATGCCAATGATGGCTTTATATGCTGTGTAAGGTCCCAGGCAAATGTCTTCTGTACCAAGATCCCTTCTCCACTTTTCACACAGCCCTTTTCTCTGCTACAGGAAAATGTTCACTTTTCTAAACTTCCACAGCCCTTGCGTGATCCTCTACATACACAAAAGAATTTTCTCTTTTTGGTACTGGGAATCGAACTAAGGACCTTGCACTTGCCAGGCAGATGCTGTGCTGCTTAGCTATCTCCCCAGCCCCACAGAAGAATTTTCTATACAGGTCTTCATGACCACTAAATTCTGCAGGCACTTTAGTTTCCCTCTTTTTTTTTTTTTAATGCTGCAAATATTTATTCATTCCTAATTGATGATTTCATGTCCCTAAACCCACTGGCACCAGAGTGGATACACAAATAATTTATGAATGAATGAATGAACAATTTAATGAAGGAGGTGATAAATACAAAGGAGTAAGATTCCTTAAAGTCAGGACATTCAAGTTTTATCATTTGAATTTTTTTTTACTTCCTTTAAGTTCTAATGAATTTATATGTAGATACCTAAATTTATTCTACAGGCAATAGAGTCTCTGAGAAATTGACAATAAGATCTTCTTTTACCGGTACTGGGAATCAAACTCACAACCTTGCACTTGCCAGGCAGGTACTGTGCCGCTGAGCTAAATCCCCAGCTAAGATCTTTTTTTTAATTTTAAAAGGTAAGCAAAAATAGCACCAAATAAACACCTGCCAGAAAACAAATCAATCCAATGTTATTACATTTTTGAAGAATTAGTCTGCAGGGCATTTAGGCTGTAATACAGCAGTTTTTTACTTCTGGTATGGCTTCTTAACCTGGTTGAAAAGACTAGTTACTTAAAATAAACTTATACTACATGAAAAACATTTATGTCTAACAAGATATTTCTATACAAAAAAATGGAATTTACTGTTCAATTTTTGAGGCAAAAATGGCACATATATGAAAGACTTTCAACAAAACCAATTTAATTTCTTAAAGAAAGTCTGACCCTTTTTAAAAAAATCTACCATCTTTTTATTAAGATATATTAAGATGAATTATTAAAGAAGAAACTTTAATCAGAGTTTCAGGGCATTTTCTTACTAGAACATCAAAGTATACAGATAAAGGCAATGGTGAAAAGACAGTAATTACTTTTAAGTCATCTTAAAGACATTATGTAAAGAGGTGATGAATGTCTTTATATCATATACCTTAAATATCCATATTCTTTCCAAATTACATATAAGAAAGAATGAATAAATGAGAAAACTACAAACACAGGGCTATGAAATAGAGAAATAACAGGTTTAAAGGAATAGTGAAAATACATATTACGGTCCTTACATCTTAAAAATATTTGTTTTTTTCTGATCATAAAAGTGATAAAAATGATCACTACAGAAAATTCCAATGACAGAAGAATATAAAAAAGCCAACAAAAATGACCCATTATCCTCTTAGCCACAAACCCCTAGTCTTAACAGACTGGTATATAACAAAGATTTCAGGCTTTTTTCTATGCATTCATGTGCAAAAAGTTTATTTTTAACACAAATTTGGAATACTCAAGACAGACTTTGTTCCACTTAAATTAAAATTTTTTTATGGCATTAAACATTATAGCTCTTGCATAGTATTTCATCCTAAAGGTAAGTACAATTTATTCCCTTGTTTCTAGTCTTGTATAACCTATGTGCATACCTAGATGTATTCAAGAGAAATTTCTAGATGTACATTTGCTGGAATAAAGAGAACAATACTGTAAGGTTCTTGATGTATATTATCAAAATGTCCCCTAGTAAGGTTGTACAACTTATATTTCTATTGGAAGTACATGTTAATGCCTATTTCCCATCAGTATTTCACTATTTTCATAAATAAAAAATCATGTTCATTTTAATTTAACTTCATTAGTTTTCCTGTTTCCTTATGAAGTTCCTATCTTGCCTAATTCTGTTTATTTATAAATTGCCTAATCTATTTGTAATATTTTTTTCTTATAAGTTTGCAAGAGATATTTATAAAGTGATATTAAGCCTCCATTTGCCACATATGCTGTGTTTCTATGAATATATAATTCCAGTTGATTTTGATTTTTTCCATGTTTATGCAGGTATACTGACAAAAACTGTACATTTAAAGTTCACAATATAATGATTTTACATGCATAATGTGAAATGATTATCACAACCAAGCTAACATTCATCATCTTACTGTTATCACTGTCTTTTTTAATGATAACAGCATTTAAGATCTACCCTCTTAGCACATTTTAAGTGTACAATACATTCTTAGCTGTAATCACTATGCTGTACAATAGTGGCAAATTTTTCATCCTAACCGAAACTCTGTACCCTTTGCCTAGTAACTCCTCATTCTTCACCCCACCCCTCGCCCCTGCAACTATCACTCAATAATCTGTTTCTGAGTTCAACTGCTTTAGAATCCATATACAAGTGTGATTTTGCAGCATTTGGTTTGCTTATTTCATTTAGCCTAATGCCTTCCAGTTTCTTTTTGCTTCATATAGGTTTTCAGTCCACTAAGAATATAGTTTTATTCTACATACACTGAGATTAAAAACCTAACTTAATTATTTTCTAAAAAGTCAATCAAGGGCAGCAGGTATGGCTCAATGGTAAAGTGCCTGCCTACCATGCACTAGGCCTTGGGTTTGGTCCCCAGTAGGACCAAAAAAAAAAAAAGATATTCACACCTAAGCCAATCAATTCTTACCAGCATCACCAATTGAACAAAGACATTTTTCATATTCATCATTAATGAAGATGGTAGATATTACATAATGAGATTTGCTTCTGGGCTTGGTGTTCTTTTCCCTTACTAAAAATCTATTTTTGAAATAGTATCATAGTTTTAATTACCCTATTTTAAACATTTAAACATCTAATAGCACAGTGTTTTAATCTTTTTTCAACAATTTCTTAGCTATTTTTAAAACTTCATTCTTACCAATTTCTGAAGCTGAAAAATAAATCAGTATTTTTAGTATATACACAGAGTCAATGCAGATATCCCTGCTATCTAATTTAAAACATTTTCACCAGCCCCTCACCAACAAAAACCCCTCATTCGTCTTACACGTCACTCTACACTCCCTCTCCCCAGCTACTGGCACTCAATAAATCTGCTTCGCCAATTCTGAAAACACTGGGTAAATGGAATTACAGAGTATGTGGCCTTTTCAGTTTGGCTGCTTTCAATCGGCATACTGTCCCAAGGTTCATCCACACTGTAAGATCAGTGTTACAACTCCTTATGACGGCCAGGATTCCATTCTATGAATATATGTATCACATTCTGGTTTCTTTTTCACAGATGATAAACATTTTGGATGTTACCACCTTTTGGCCAAGTAATTTGGCTATAAACATTCTCATACAAGTTTTGGTATGAACATGTTTTCAGTTCTTTTGGCTATATTCCTAGAAACAGACTATGGTAATTTTTTCTTTTTCAAGAATATAATATACGGGTTGTGACTATGTATATTTTAATATGTACTTCTATGTTTACTTTGAGGAAATGTGAAGTTGCTTTCCATAGGGACTGCAACACTGTATATTCTTAAAAACTACAAACAAGGTCCCCAATTTCTCCACATCCTCATCAACACTTGATACTGTCTTTATTTTCTGCCATTCTAGTTGGTGCGAAGCTGCATCTCCCTGCGCTTCTGATTTTCATTTCTCTAATGGCTGATGATGCCGAAAGTTTTTCCATGTTCCCATCAGCCATTTGTATATATTTTCTGAAGACATGACCGTAGGTGTTTGTTTGGGTGGCATATTGTATCAACTTATAACTGTCCAGCAATAATAAATTCTGCTTGGCTATGAGTCTTTCCTCCTACCCTACCCTCAAAACTAACATTATTTTAAAATTTACTTAAATATATGTTCATTTATTTTGGTTTCTTAATACAGGATCTTGCTATTATGTAGTCCAGGTTAGCACTGAACTCTCTGTTGTAGCCCAGCTGGCCTCAAATTATTAATCTTCCTGCATCGGTTTTGCCAGTGCTGAAATTATGTGCTGGGATTACATATGGCTGCCACCACACATGGCTTAAATATATATAGCACAAAGAAACATAAAATAGAAAATTAAAGTCTCATAATTCTACCCCACAGCACTACTAACCATTCTTTATTTCCTAACTTTTTTTCTGATTAAAAAAGAAAAGTCCGTAACAACACTGTATATGTATGTACAAATATATGCTAAGCATTTATTTTGTGCCAAGCAATGTTCCAAAGTGTTTCCTGTCTTAGTCAGTGCTAATAAATATCAAAATTATGTCAAGTCTGCCCCATACTTAGTTTTATAACCTTAACCTACTGTGAATTTTTCTTTAACAGCCTTCGAAATTTTTCAGTAGCACCACTCCTCCCGACCAAGAGACCAAGGTTTCTAATGAGCTCCAGGTAGATGAAGAGTCATTTCTCTATGTGTCCACTGTACCTTGGGCTTCCCTCAGCCCCTTCAAGCGTCACGCGGCTTTGTAACCGATGGTCAGCACCCTAGTTTCATTTGCTGAGAGCAAACTCCTTGTGTTTACTACTATGCTCACTGCACAGGACAAGCGGCTGGGAAAAATGGTTTTGAAACTTTTTCCAAATAAAGTCCACTGACTTGATGAAGTACATTGGCAGCCAACTTCACCTGAACTTCCTACCTACGGGAGCTCAGAGAAAGAAACTAAAATTTAGTGAGCTTCTCTGAGGTGTCTAGTACTTTCCACACATTAACTCTGTTACTTCTCAGCAAAGTCCTCACTTTAAAAACGAAAACATTAAAGCTTTACTTTCCACATAGTCTGTAGGGCAGAATGTGAACTCAGGCTGCTGTGACTCTCACGCTTTGCTTTCTGTTCTTCACTACGTGGCCTTCCCTCCTCAAGCAAACAGCCATGTTACCTGTAAGGGAAAGGGCTACTCTTGTAGAAGTAAAAAATTTTTACTCCAGGTAAAAATTTCTCTATTTGCCCTGGAAGAATTTCTGGCTAGCTAACAGGGGAAAGGGCCCTGAGAAGGGAGACGTAGAGGAAGTGGTAACCTAAAATCCCAGAAAGCTTCTCCATGCATCTGAAAACACCACTTGGGGCACTCTGATCTTCAACTTGGCCTTTTAACATTATTCCCAGCTTGTGAAGCTTTTTAAAAAAGAATCCTAGAATTCTTATGGCATTGTAATATCATACGAAGAAAAAAAATACCACACTTTAATATATAAAAAGGCACACAGGGGACACCTGGCTCTCATTCTGATGAACAATAAACGGTGGCTAACTCTAAGCCATTAAAATTCTCTGGAAATCTCCACCTTCTTCCTAAACTGCAAAGATTAGTTCAAGAGAATTCCTAGCCTGCATCCAAATAACCCCTGAACCTGTGGAGAATACTGACCTCTAAATCCCACCCTCACTCTGATTAGTTTACCTGGAATGAGACTTAGGCATCCCTAGGAAAATTTATAGGATCTGCACATGAAGGAACACCTGGGCGAGATCTGTTCCCGGCTCCCCTCCCTGCCCACCAGGTCAGGACATTGTGCAAAGACAGCCAATAGACGCAGCATCCTGACTCATATCACCAGAGGCTACCAAGAAGTAATTTCAATTCTATGACTTAATAATCTCTTCCTGTTTCACAGCAAAGCAAGTTGTACTCAGTCTTCCTCTACTGGCTTAATCTGTCTTTGGTATCCCAATGCACCATCCCAATGCCCACAAGTGCACTGATGAGGATATCAATTCTAACTGTCAGGGTATCTCTGGAGGTATCTGCTGTTAGGATCCTCTCGAGCTGCTGGACCATTACTCCCTCTACTTTACTTCTTTAAAGCTCTTCTGAAGACTGACACAGCACACTAACAGTGCGCACGGAGGCTGCATAATGATAGCCCTACCTTGGCATCCAGTTTAGCCAGGTGCTGTAAAACCCAGATGCGATGAGACCAGGCATTGTAGTTGCTTGGGTATCTCCCTGCTGCTTCACCACAGACCTCCATCTCTTCCTGTATTAGTCGCTGTGTCCTCTCTGCAGGAATTGTTCCTGAGTTTCCTTTGGTTACAAAGGAAGGCAAGGAAGCTTCCTGAATTAGCTGTTGTAGCACCCATCGCCTGTTAAGGTAGCATGTGGGAAAGAAGAGCATAAACCAAAGCCCATCAACCAAAGGGGAAAACAACCATTTCTCCTTATTCTCAATTTAATTTCCATAAATAGACAATGTAAAAGTAAGACCCACCTATAAGCCCAGGTTTGGGGGAGGTAAGGAAAGATTGGTATTCTAGTGTTTTTGAAAATAAACTTAGCACCATGAACGAAGGGGGATGGGGATAGGAAAGAGAGACCTTGCTATAACTTGAAAATCTGTCAAGAAGAGAATGTCATCAGTTCTAAAATGACAACTCCCAAACTTCATTTGGCCAGAAAATGTGAAGGCAGCTGGTTTGTGTGTTTTTGTGGTGATGGTGGTAGTGACACGATCACAGTTCATGAATGCTTTTGTTTGCAAACAGAAGCATTTGGCAAAATTCTGTTTTTGTCTGCAAATGCAGCATCAGGTGACAAACACAATCATGGCCATCTTTGCCACACAAACAAATGTGGCCATCCTTACCAAAATCATAGAACAAACTGAGTGTGTGAACCTGGGTACCACTGTGATTAGTGGCAGGTAATTATCAGACGCAAAGTCATGGTTCATGTCATCAATTAAGTGTGCCTGCCTCACCCTATGTGTGTTTGTTTGCAAATAAGAAACTGCATTTTGACAGCTTTCATTAAGCAAAATTTCCATATTACAGCATAAACTCTAGAAGGAAACAAACATAACACAATTAGCTAAACCATTAAGGAGGTTTTAAAATGTCTTTACCCACAGCTTTTTGTCTATTTAAGATTTGCATTAGCATTAAATTGAAAGTACTAAAAAGGTGTATACAATTACTTAATATCTTTGGTTTCAAACGTTTTATGAAAGCATTCTTTCAGAATAAAAATTTTCAACCCAAAAGTAGAGAAAATTGAGTAAGAAAATTAATGTCATGACTTTTAAATAACAGAAATTTTTATTTAACAACAAAATATTGATTTAAGAATTGCAGACACAGAGCAATGAACGGACATATACATTAATAGTTCCCACCCCCTAGCACCACCCTTTCTAGGCCTCACACAAAGTCTCTCTGAGGTTTGCTAGCCAGTTTCTAGTAAAATACAACTGATGATGGTTTGAAAGGAGCTGCCCTGAAATACTAGGCAAAGATTACAGCTAAAGGTACCTTACACTGACATAAGGTACTTAAAACGCCTAGGATTAAAGAAAAGTCAGAGTGGCTTAATGAAAAGAGATTTCTTCACAGTAACTTCTCCACTAATACCAATCAGCAAGCGGACACCCTCTATTTTAGTCAAATAAAAGTAGTTACATGTGGTCCAAGAGGAAGATGCTTAAAGAAAGCCAGGACTTGGAGACCTTACTTGCATTCTATCTTCTTGTCATTTATGATCTTAGTAACTTTAGTTCAGCCCATGCACAATTCATCTCAGCTGCCCTTAGCTTCCTTTATAATTCTATTTTAATGACCATAACCATCAGTACCACTATGTTTACCAGGAACACAATCTAATGCATTTAAAAGCCCAAAATGCTCAGTATGATGTTGAGTATCTAAATGCAATCTCCACAACTATACAGACAGTTAACAGTAGCTAATGTTTATTGAGTATTTAATACGTGCCAGACATTGTGGTAATGTTTACATCTATCATCTCATGCACACTGGATTATGAGACCGGTATAATAATTACTCCCATTTTACAAAAAAGAAAACTGAGAACTTGGAGAGGTTAGCTGCTCATGAGCAAAAGTGATAGCCCCTAGATTTACATGTAGATAATGAGCTTTAAAATTTATGCTGTGGGGGCTGGGGATTTAGCTCAGCGGCAAAGCGCCTGCCTGGCAAGCGCAAGGTCGTGAGTTCGGTTCCCAATACTGGAGAAAAACCAAAACCAAAAAAAAAAAAAAAAAAAAATTTATGTTGTGAACCAACATGAGATCCTGCTTCACTTGCTGCTCCTCCCTCCGGCCATTCTGAATTCTAAACATGGTAGTAGGCTGTAAGTTAACCACACCTGTGAATCCATGTTTCCGGGCTCTTTGGAAATTTTGTTAAGGCCAGTTTTCCCAGATGTAAGTCTTTAATTGGATTTAAGGTACCAGAGAGGATCAATTCTTTCCTATAAAAGAAAAAATTTGAAAAGCACTACATCATCTTCCTATTCAAACATTCTGCATGACTTTTAATACAACCTCATTATGAAATGTCAATTTCCACGAATTAAAATTAAAAAAAAAAGGACATCAAAAACCAAACCACTATGGTATAGTACTGAACTGTCATAAATGTCACATACAGTAAATAAGAATGTGTTCTCATAACCTCAAAATGAATACATAATAAGAGCTTCTCTTAGGTCAACAGTGGAACTTTAGTTAACTGTTTGTTCTACAGCAAAGGTGTTTCCTGGATTCTAACTTTAACATTATACGACTACACAGCAGTTATCTAACAGTAGTCAAGAACTGCTCCAGCTTCCTAGAGCGTGCGCGCGTGCGCGCGCGCGCACACACACACACACACACACACACACACACACACACACACACACACGGAAGCCAAAACACAGTGTATAATTGAGGTGCAAAGAAAAAGATTATTTATTGAATCATTATCCTGTTATTGTTTAAATTGTCTGTTCTGTATCTCCCCATATTTTTACATTTTTAATGTTTAATTTTATATCTTGCTCTCATTATATTTTAAGAATTTCCCTGGTTTATTAAAAGCAACAGTTAATGATTTTTTTTGACTGATTTTACATGCTTATATCTGGTAATCTGAGCAACTACTTTGAAGACAACAATATGCAATATTACAACCATTGTTGAATTCCTATCATCTTGTTTTTTTTTTAAATTCTGTATTGTTTCTAAGGTTTTTTAAATTATTTTTTATTCTCTTTAAAAAAAATTTTCCCTATGGATTCTACATAATCTTTGTAATGAGTATTTTGAATGGTCAAGTGGTTTTTATTCACTAGCTGTGGATGTAATTTAATATCCTTTCTCCCTACAAATATATATTTAGGTTGCTCCCAACTTTTTGCTATTCTAAAAGAATTATGGGAAATAAACAAGAAACAAAGCCTTGTGCTCAGAAGTATTTCTTTTGTCCTATTAAGTTTCCAAGAGGTATTACCATGTGAAACACTTGCCCTTAATACAGTAGGTAGCCGGGTTTTTAAAAAATATAAACGGAAGTAATAGGCGTATGTTTTAAAGCTGACCAAGTTCAACCAAAGGTTGAATGCAACTTTAAAGAAGTTCACACTAGTTGCTACCTATTTTTCAGTAAATGCAATTTACATTTAATTTCTCAGATAAAGTTTTTGTATCACTATGTAGTTCAGGCTAACCTCGAACTCACAACAATCCTCCTGCCTCAGTCTCTCGAGTGCTGGGATTACAGGCATGCACCATCACACCAGAAAATCAGATATATTTTTGATGACAGGTGCTAATGTTACAAGTGTGCTTCCTATTAATTCTCAATATATTATTTTATAATAAAATCAGATCAATTATTAATCTTAAATTGTTATATTATTAATCTATTTTATAGATGTTTAAGCCCAACAAAACCAGAACCCGTATATATCAACTGCTTAGATGAATTTAGTTCTAAAAATGTCAGTAAATTTTCTTTCCAGCAGCAATGTACTATTTCTCAATTTTTATTTGATAAAGAAAATAACTTCCTTTTAAATGAAAATACAAATAGTGGTAACCGTTTATCACTTTAAGGTTGGTAACATTATAAAAGAATCTGAAGCAATACCTAGGTTTACTTTAACTGATTATTTTCCTTTCAATATACAGAAAACCTATTTTTCATTAAAAAACAAAACAAAAACACAAAAAAATAATGCACCAGCCAATTGCTTCTACAGGCTTAGAAAGCTTTTCTTCTGAAATCAGTAACATTCTCCTTAGACAGTAAATAGAAATATCTATGAAATAAAAGGATGCAAAGATTGCTCTGTGTAATTCTGACTACTTTGTAGTACAGTATTTCTCAAAGTGGAGCCCTTGACAGTGACCTCAGCGTATTCTGAAACAGGAGAAACACAGATTCTCAGTCTTGCAGACACACTCAAGCAGAAGCAGACAAGCAGAGTACTGTGTTTTAACAAACCCTTTGGGTGAGGCACATGAAAGTTCAGAACCACTATTGCAAAGAATGTACTGTACTATGTTTAATTTTCATTTGCTAAATTTAAGACACTGTTATTTACAATGCCTTTCCTCATTCTCATATATGGGGAGATAATAAAGTATTTCTTTAGAAAAGAGGGAGTCAACTTATAATGGAGTCTTTGCAAAGTTTCTTAAATTATGGGTGCTCTATTAATTTGTTTATTTTGAAAAAACAAACACTGTGTTTTAGGGAAGACAACTCAGTTTGAAACAACCTCAACCAACAGTATATATGACTTCTTACAAAGATCACATGACAAGCATAAAAAAGGAAGTGAAATATTATCAATTAATAAACATTCCTGGGTGCAAGACTGAACACCTTAAGGTGTTGGATACTGTTGCAAACAAGTTTTTTTTTTTTAAAAATTATTGTATTAAAAAGAAATACCGTAAGTGGTTAAGTTATGGCAATCTTAACATAGCAGTATAATAAAAAATCAACTCTTTCCTGAATTCGCAGAGTCAAGAAGAATCTGGATGGAGATGAGATTTCTAGTCACTTGAAGATTCAAATATAGTAACTCAAACAACTTAGATAGAAGAGGATGGGGGGGTCTGGAAAACTGCTAATAGGTAAAAATGACTTTATGATGACAAAGTCACTGATGTCAACTAAGTCATGTAAGGCACTTCAACAAAACTGATTAATAAAATGTAAGAAAGTGAAAACTGATAAACCAAAACATCTCCTGTCATTTTAAAGTTGTGTAACTAAATTGAAATAAATCTTAAGGCATTAACTTACTTCGTGAATATTCCCCAAAGCTTAGATAGTGATACAGTACTAGTCTAAAGAACATTTTTGGGGAAAATTTTCTTGCTGGAGAAATGGGGTGCTACCTTAAAGGTAAAGTAGATTGACTGGAGGAATCTTTGTGTTCATACTGAAAAGTCTAGCTTCTACTTCTTAGGTGGCACATTGCTGACAGAAGAAACAATGATCCTGGGATCATCAAACATTAGCAAAACCAGGAAGGGAAAAAGCATCTATTATGCTGAGGTTAGACAGCAGAGGTGGTAAGAACAATGCTATGTACAACCTTGTCAGGAGAATTATGTAAGTGAGGGCCACCATTTTTAAAAAGGTGAGATAAGGGAGTAGGTGGATGGGTTTTTGAAAAATGATAAAAAGTAGAATTATAAATGCAAAGAGCGGGGCTGGGGATTTAGCTCAGCAGCACAGCACCTGCCTGGCAAGCGCGAAGATGTGAGTTCGATTCCCCATACCAGAAAAAAAACAAAAAAAAAAAAAAAAAAAAAAAAGCAGAGGTCCCTCACGTAGCATATTTTTGAAATGATAAAGGTAACCCTTGTAAAAATCTGTGCTACGTCTTTTTACTAAATAGAAAAAAACTCTCATCACTTTCCACTGAAAACTCTTGTTCCTCAGGAAAAATCACCTCGTTCTGTAGCTAAAACACAACTATGGGAACTTTCACAGCCACCAAGAAGATTTGTATACTATCCTGTGCTTTCATCTATGAGACACTGTACTTTCATATTTCTGCAAAGTTTATTTTGATTGAGGCTGAATCTCTACTGGTTAGTTCTGTACTTGGTACACAACAATGAATTTTATGTACAAATGCCATCTTTTTTCTCCTCCAATCTTTATTCTGTCTGAACTAAAGATAGTCAGCCTCATAAAAACTGTCATCCACAGAACACTTTCCCTAATTACTGTTAAGTGATGTTACCTAGTTTACCTCTTACAATGACCCTGTAAGAATTAGTTGGGCCATGTGAAACTACCAATATTCAATCCTTTTTAGAAAAAAAACCAAATAAATGAACAGAGAAGTTGTAAAGACAAAACAGAGAACTCCCACATACTCTGCACCTAGGTTCCCTGCTGTCAAATCTTGTATTACTATCGTGTTTTTATCAAATTTGATGAGCTAATATTGATATTACTTAAGTCCACACTTTATTCAGAATTCCTTAGTTTTCTACCAAATTTTCTTTCTTTATTCCAGGGCCTTATCCAGGACCCCACATTACATTTTGATTGTTAAACTGCAGGCTCCTAGGCTCACTTTGCTTTTGATGGCTTCAACATTTTTTGAGGACCGCTCAGATATGTTGTATAATACTTTTATTGTGCTCAAACTCAGGTTATGGGTATGGAGAAAGAAGACTACACAGGTAAAGTACATCAAACCAGGAGCACATACGATCAACACGACTTATCATTGATGACGACCTGGATTACATGGTTGAGGGAATGTTATGTCAGGTTTCCTTACTGCTTTTTGGAAGGAAGTCACTGATTTTTTGATTCAGTGCACAGCCCACACTTAGAAACAGTGAATAATACTCTGCCTTCTGAAGAGAATTACCTATATAAACTAACAGCACGTTTGTCTTCTGCCTCCTGCTTTTTTATTCACTGATTCTTTTATGTCAGCATGGACTTATTTTATACTTGAGGTTATATGTCAGCATGGATACTCATTTTATGGATACTTATTTTATACTTGGGGTTATAGACCAATACCATGTCAAAGTAATTACCCCGTTATCCACAGTTTAAGTCACCCATGGTCAGAGCTAAAAAATTTTAAATGGAAAATTCCAGAAATAATGTGTTAAGTTTTAAATGGCATGTTGTTCTGAATTGCACGATAAAATCTCAGGAAGCATAGCTCAGCATCTGAATTATCCCTTTGTCCAGCGTACCCATTCTGCTTAAGTTCATTAGTCCCTTAGTAGGAAAAAACATATTATTCTTTGTTTTAGGCACCCACTATGATAAGCAAGGACTACTGCACTTATTTTGTTGCTGAAATCTTTCCAGCTTTTGCTCTTGGAAGTTCTTTTAATTGGTTCGTGTGTCCCTTTAACACAACCCCACTACTGTATACTTTGTTTTGAATAGTTTCCTTATTTTCTGACTCCACAGATGCACCAAAATCATCTTACATACTTTCTGCCCTAAGCCTAGAATCATCCATTTCTCCAAGAAGCCTAGTTTCTTTAACAGAGAATGGTGTTAGAAATCAGTACCTATGAGCTGAGCGGCAAGTTCAGTATTTTTGATCTAGGAAAAAAATAAAAATTCAAATGGTTCAACTCAGCATTATGTCAATTTTATAAAGAAGAAAACGGAGAATTGGAGGTGTTCAGTAATTTGCTCAATGCTTCCTAACTCAAACTGTCAGAACTAAGCCTCAAATCTGCATAATACAAAGTTATCAGTTTAAACCAATAGGCTGAGTAAGGAATATGAATCACTGGAGTTTAGTACCACCTATTTTAGTTGCTCAAAGATGTTGTTTACTCTTAAGTTCACAGACTGATGAAAAAGCAGGACAAAATGACAAAAACCTCTGTCATCAGGTAACTCACCAACTTTCAAGCAAAAACAGTCATTTTTTAATAACCAGGGTTTTTTTAAAAACTAGGCACCATTTACTATAATCATAGGAGATCAGCTAAAAAATTTATTTTAACTTCTATTATCCTCCCTAAGATTGTAACATTTAGAAACTGAACTAGATAATGACTATTCAGATCATTTTTTAGAAGTCTGTAAAATATAGTAAAAATCATTCAATGTTTCCCAGGGTTACTGTACAAGAAATATACCAAATATAACACAACGTGCTGAGTATCTGGTTTGTAACAAAGACCTCACAAGGTTAGACCAGTTTACTTCCAAGGTTAGTTGTTGTTTGTTCAAAATGCAGACATGATTTTGTGTCTTTATGTGATAATCAGTGAATACAAATCAAAATTTACCAACGCACATATCTGCAAGGGATTACAAAAATCCAGATTCCTTTTCACTTATAATAAAACTTTAATCATCTTTCAAGATTAATTGCTATACACATCACTGAAGTTAGATTTACAAAGCAATTTCCATTCAAAAGAAACTAAACTACGCACAAAAAGTCAGTTTTAAAAGAATCATAAAACTGATTTAGTTCAGATCTCTTATTTTATAAACCAAAACTCTTGAGAAATTAAAGGTTTTTGCCGAAAGTCAACTGCTAGTTAAGTGATGAAACAGAACTAAGTTGTATGGACCAGATTTTCTCTCCTACACTTAGCTGCCTTAAAGATATCTAATGAATAATGCAAGTGTATCTATGTTTACAGAGATGTATGTGTGTGTACAGATACGTAGCTATGTACATTTGTTTATACATTATGCTAGTAAAAACTTGTTTGGCATTTTTTTATTTTTGCTTTTGGAGGCAGGTCTCGGGACAGACTGACCCCAAATCTGTGACCCTTCTTCCTAAGCCTCCCGAGCACTGGGGATACAGGCTGCGCCACCACACCCGGCTTGCTAGCAAGAAATTTTTTTTAAGGATTTTCCATTTCCCTCTAATAATGAGAATGTGAAAACCTGAGGTACTCTTCTTTCCCCAATATCTTCATTTCTTTTTCACTGAATTTATTTTCAGTGTGCGGTTTGCAAACTTCATATTTCTTTGGTGCTGGGCATTAGAGAAACAAAGAAAAACAACAAAAGAAGAAAACAAAAAGACACAGTTCCTAACCTTCAAGAGCTCTCCACTGTAAGTTCACAGTATCTTCCTAAGAGTCCTTTTTGCTGATCTTTCCTTATCTTGCAAACTCTAGAACAGTACTGCTCAATAGAAATATGTGAATCACAAAGTAAGTACATACAGGATTTAAAATTTTTCTAACAGCTATATTAAAAACAAATACTGTATAAATTTATTTAATTCAATATATCCAAAATGTTATAATTTCAACAAATAATTAATAAAAAATGATGAGGTATTTCACTGTTTTGGGTACTCAGTCTTCAAAATCTGGCACAGTTATATTTCTAGCACATCTCCATGGAAACTAGTCGCCATTTCAAGGGCTCAACACAGACGAGCAGCTTCTGGTTACTACACTGGCCTCAGAAAATACTGGAGTATCTCAGTGCTCAGACTTTGAACGGGTTGTTTTTGCTATCTGCATCTACTCCTTTGCAGATCTCAGTTTTGTGACTTTAAAACTATCTATGTGCTCCAATTCCTACATTTTTATCTGGCCCAGGCTTTTCCGGTGAACTTTTAGATTAATATCCCTCTAGATGGACACAAAAAAACATGTGCCCAACCGAACTCTTGACTTCTAGCCACACATCCCGTTTTCAGAAAATGGCAATGTTCTTTTCAGTAGCTCCAGGCAAAACCAAACCCAAGCCTGATGCCCTTCTTTCATATCTAACTCATCATCTGTAGCTTTGCAATTTATGCAGATTTTACAACTATTCACCATTTCCACAGCTGAGCTCTTCAAGTCACCATCATCTCTCAGGAAAATCACTGAAACCTCTCCCTAACTTCCAAGCTACTTCCTGTACTTCTACTGTCTACTTCCCACACAGGACCCAGTTTTAAAATCTAAGCTATGTCCCTTCTCATCTTGAAAAACTGTAATGACTTTCTATCTCACCCAGAGTAAACGTCAAAAGTTAGGGTAACAACCTGCACATGTTAGATCTGGCCCACTACTCTCTGACCACATCTACTACTTTTTTCTTCATTCATGCTGCTCTAGCAACACGGACTTCTTGCAGTCCCAGAACACTCAGGGCCACTTGAGCCAGGACTGAGGGATTTTCCATCCACAGTTCCTTTCACTTGGAAGGCTCTTACCTGAGAAATCAAGGCTTTGACCCTGAACTTTGTGTTGGTTTTTCTCAAATGTTCCCTATTTAAAACAACAATACCAGCCCGGACTAGGGGCACAAGCCTGTAATCCCAGGACTCTGCGATGGTGAGGCAGCAGGTTCATAAATTTTGGCCCAGCCTGCACAACTTAGTAAGACCCTGTTTCCAAACGGGGTATGGGGGAGGCGAGCAGTGGGGGAACTGGAGATGCCACTCTGCGGAGGCCCTGGCTACTGCAAAACAGAGCCCCGCAATGACGCTTTCTCATCTTTTTGGCCTCTCTGCATTCTTTTCTCACTTTTTCTGCCTAGGATTTACCACCACTTGATCTAATGTTTTACCTTTGAATGCCCTTATTACTTTTCATTCACTATTAACAGACTTTTTGTATGCTTTGTTCATGGCTCTATTCCAGCGTCTAAACCTAGCACACAGTAGTTAATAAACATATGATGAATGAACAAATGTTCTCAAATACTGTATGTATCATATGAGGTAACAAATGGTGCAGTACAGTCCCTGAAATAAAGTAACCACTCAATAAACAGTCCATTCCTTACCTACTGCAGTGCTTCTCATCAGAAAATCAGAGCTCTAAAATCATATACAAATTTAAAGCTTTATATTTCATTTTATACACTTTAGTCTTTATAGATTTCTGGTCATTCATTATTTAAAGGACACTTTAAGAAAAAGACATACAAGTTCTTAATTAGTTTAAATTTACAATTTAGTCAATATTACAAAACAATAACTCAAGATATGGCCTTGCATATCTTGCACAGAAAATTAAATTGTATGATTTAGGATATCTTAAAAGATAATAATTTAGGATATTCAACAGGATTTTATTTTCATTTATTTATAATTTGTATTCTGCTTTCCTCTAGTCTAAAAGAATTTTAAGTATGTATGCATATACATGTTAACTGAAAATATTTAATGAAAAAATTATCCTGCTCTAATTGTAGTATTTCTATTAAGTGTTTTGTTTAAAATCTGTAATAATCAGATTCAAAGAACATAATATGAAAAACATGATATTGCTCTGAAACACTAAGTGTCAGACTCCTGACAATTTGCCCACAGGGATCAGAATGTCAACAATAAACTAAGACTAAAAACTGCAGCCTTCCATCGTCATCCCACATTCTCTTCTGCACTGCAGTGTTTCTCAAAAATACCAGTCAGTGTCTTATAGTTCACTCAGTTATGCCAGCTGCCATACCCCACATCCCCTAAAGGAAGGAAAATAAAAGCATGCACCAGATAGGGTACTATAATTCAATATGAAAATTTCCAGGCAAGAAAATTCATAGATATCAGACACAGACATGCAAAAGGCACCTACAGTATTCATCGGCGCTGTCATGGAGATACAAAGAATGGGTAGAAGAAAGTAAGTATAGGATGTCACGGACATAACAGATTATATGTCATCTTTCAAACATCTAACAACTCATAAATCTTCAGAAATATGGACAAACTTCATCTTATCACTTATGAAAATTATGTACCTCACATTCCATGCCGTGGTAAAATCTGGGTTTAGAAGCAGCAGAGTACACGTGACATCTATCAATTCTAAAATAAAAAGAAGTCATATTAAAAACAAATAGTCCTACCCTTCAAAGCCTGGTTTCTTTTAAGCTTCTCTCTCTCCAATTATAATAATACAGATCTCATGACATACTAATTTTAATGACAGACAACCTGGCTCTAAACTATAAGGGATATTCTCTACATGAAAAGTATCCTCAAGACTTTCTTCTACTTATAATAAACTCTTTTAAAAGTTGACACTAAATAATTTTACAATATAATGTCATTATTTTAGTAGTTTGGGGCACTGATTTAATATTTATCAAAGAAAACAATTCATTTAATTCCATTAATATCCCAAGTATAGAATATGTGCAAATTTTCAAAAGAGGGAAAAATGATTCACCAACCAACCCAATACACCTCATTACATTCTCCTGCAATATGTTTCTTTCCTGTGCAGTTTTACACTGCCATAGTAATGATAAAATTACTATATCTTTAAACATTTTTTTATTTTACAGATTCCTTTCCTTGGATATAGTTCCTGAAGTAGAACTATGTCAAAACAATAAAAAAATCTGCATGGCTTCTATTGTTTGTAAGTTGTGCTCCAAATGGACCATTAAAAATGCCAAGAGAAAGATGAGTTAACTTAAGAGAACTTAATGAAGTAATGTGAAGAAACTGCTTGTAATTCTGACCTACATAAGTTTGCTGTTCAAACTCAATGTGACGGTGCGGGCAATGTAGCTCAGTGGCAGAGCACTTGCCTTGGCCCTGGGTTGATCTCCAGCAGCGCAAAACAAAGCCAATGTGATGGATATTAAAAATCTGTACTTTAATTTACAATTTTATATTCATATGAATGTTTTTCATTTTGTCTACTACTTAAAGCTCATCTAGTGCTCACTTTGGCAGCACGTATACTTAAAACTCATCTATGAATAGCCTATTCATTTTTAAAAAGCTATCTACTACAATCTTGACAATATTCTTAAGTATTCAATTAAGCTCTAAAGCGTAGTTTTAAAAGAACAAAAAAAGTAGACATATTTCCTTTTACTAACATTGAAAAAAAATCTAGGCTACAATTATAAAATTAGAGGCATAAAACTAAATTAGGTAGCCCTACCAAGCATGTATTTGAGGTCAAGTAACTAAATAAGAATAATTGCTATACTTCATTTAGCATCACTGTGTACTAGACATGATATTAAGTACTTCTTTCACATTACTTCATTGAATTCTCATAACCAGTCTCTAAGACATTCTTACTCTATTTTATAGACGAAGAAAATGAAATTTACAAAGTTTAAGCAATTTGCCCAGTCTCTCAATTATATGTGACAAGTAAACATTTAACTGCTTTTAACAAATCAATTATACAGCAACTAAAATGTCTGTCTACAAGTAATTAGGACATTTTTCACGTTAAAGTAAAAGATAAACTTTTAAATATCTAAGAACAAAGTACCCAAGTGTTTATACATAAGTACACCCTACAGGCATTTAAAAATATTCTAGTTGATAAAATCAATTATTCTATCCTCATAGCATCTTAATAAATGATGGTAACATTTATTTTGAGCTCATGATTTCATTACTATTGAGCACACTGTCACATCTAATAATGAGCAACAAACAGGATCAGCCTACATTTTTGACCTGCATCTTTCCGGTCATAAGTTATCATTTGCATAAACATGATATGCTCCTGAAGAATAATCCAATTAATCTTTCCCTTCTTTCACTTTTAGTAAATTTAATTTGTAATATTTGCCAAGGATAATAGTAAAATGTTCTGTCCCACATTCATTTAATTCCACTAATATTCCATGTACTGACCATGGATGAAGGTTAAACTGATCCCTTAGGACTAAAAGAATAGGGTAATTTAAAAACCTTATTTCACCCTTTACAAGGTCACCTTTGGTTGGAGAGAATATACACACAATACTTACATAAGTCAAAATGAAAAAATTGGGAAGTAGAAGAATATACTACACTTTGTTGCCTAGAAAAGAATCTGTAATTCTTACACTGGTGTACCTGGGGGAGACTACAGAACATGGCAGCAAAAGCTCTGCAGACCATGGAAAAGGTGTGGCAAAGGTGAAGAGGCATGGACCTTCACACACAGTCTGTTCTCAGTGAGACAATGGGGAGCAGAGAGAATGTACTTTAAATATAAACCCTTCAAGAACATGGTCCCAGCCTCTTATCAGCCTGGCATTTCACTTTCTCCTTTCACATGCGAAACAACCGAAATCAAATCCCACCACCCTCTGAATATACCTCCTACCTGCCTACCTTCTCTTTCTGGACACAACCCATGTTTATCTGTTTACTATTCCTTCTACCAGAAATCTCTCCCTATGTTTCAACTTAAAGAATAACAACAAACTTTTTATATCTCAGGAACTCTTAAGTGTATCTTTCTATGAAAGCTCTATCTAGTAAGAGAAATCTTTCATCTGTTTTTTGTGCGTCATATTTCATTAATTACTTAAATACTACCCTTTTAATTAGACCATCAATTAAGAAGGCAGGTCCTCCTTAATACATCTTCAAATTATTTATTTAACAAATTTTTGGGAGCATCTACAATAAGCCAGGAACTGAGTGAAGATAAAGAAGACATGACCCCCATTCAAATGCACTTTAATATTGGTCCACAGCAAAAAGGGGTGGTAAGGGCTGAGGATTTAGCTCAGCGGCAAAAGCGCCTGCCTGGCAAGCGCAAGGTCGTGAGTTTGGTTCCTGGTACCGGAGAAAAACCAAAAAAAAAAAAAAGGGGGGGGGGTGGTAAGAGCCACTCTGCTTGGGTTTGAATCCCAGCTTCTCCACTTACTCCTATAAAACTTAACCTCTCTGAACCTCACTTTCATTAATTGTAAAATGGGGATAGTAGTATCTCAGTTATGCATGATGAGCTGTCTGATACAGTGATTGCTCAGTAAGTATTTGATCAAATAAATATCACTGCTACCTACCACTAAGAATGGATATTTTCAACATCAAAGACATCAGAAACAGTGAGGCAGTTATTCCTATAGAGAAACTGTCTAAATTTCTAAACTTATAAAATAACAAGAACGAAAAAAAGCACTAAGTAGGTAAGCAGCTATATGGCAAAGTTTAGACATGATGGGAAAGCTTTTAGAATCTCTTTGATGTCTACAATTATTCAAAAAGCCATTATATTACTAGGTAAAGAAAATGTGTAATTAATGGTAGTTGCTATTGTGTGTACTTTGAACACAACTGTCCCTCCCTATCCTCTACAAGTGAAGACAAGACCATCCTCCACAAAAAAGAGACTTCTGTATAACAGCAAAAGCAAACCATAACAAATAAATACAGAAAATTGAACCCCAATTTTCAATTTATGCCTATATGGAGAGAAAGGCTGTGCCCTTAGGAGGGCTATAGCAGCTGCTGCAGTTACAGGCTAGCTCTATCACTTCCTAGGACTTCATGGGCAGATCACTGTGTGTGCTTCAGAGTATCCTCCTCATCTGTAAAATGCAGCTAATATCAGTACTTCCTGATAAAGGTATTAAATGACTAAAACATGCAGTGTCAAGACAATACCTAATTCCTCTCTCCAAGCCTGTCTCCTAGCCCAATTCTACAGTGATACTCGGACCCGATGCTTCTAGATGGAGAATAACAATCTGAACTAGGCAATGATCCCTGGACAGAGATTTTTTTCCAATTTCTTAAGATTTTTTAGAACCTCAAGATTTAATACATCAATGGCCTCAACTAACCATCAGTAGTAACAAAATTAGCAGCATACACAACCACAGCCCTCCCCTTTAACAAACTACTAGCTTCCTGAATGAGGACTCAAGTTCCCATGCAAGAAGTGAGGGGGTGAAGTGGAATGTCAGAAATGAGAAAGGGCTAATCAATGAAAAGTAACTAGGTTAGAAATCAATGGATATAATTAAAGAACCAGATCCTCAGGGCAAGTCTCTGAGGTCCTGATTAGTATTCCCTTCCACTTGTGTGGAAACAGCAACAGAGGTGAAGTAATCTGCCTAAAGACACTGACAAGTGACTTTAGGATGCTGACGTACTGAGTATTTAAATTCAGGTCCATCTTCCTGCAAAGCAGATGCTCTGTCCACTTCAGGACACTACAGACAAGTACTCTGCCCTCTGTAGAAAGGACTAGCCAAAAACCCAAAGATAAACATGTATAAGCAAAAGCTTACTGTAATTATTTCATACTGTAATTATTTCCCTCTCTAAATTTTGCCAACTATGTATCATTTCTTCCTAGCCTTACCCAAAAGATATGAGCTACTTAAAGTCCTACTGTCTCCTGAAATTAAATGGCCCTGTCTCCACATATCAAAACAAAGACAGCAGACAAATGGTCATTACACATACTCCAAAATACTACTAGACCATCATATCACAGAAAAAAATGAAATCAGGTCACATTATATGCAGGAAAGTAAATTCCAGCTGTAACAAGGAAAGAACACAGGATGTGACAGAAGTCAGAGAAAACTTAATATGCATTCTCTGCAGTATTGCATTTTAGAAATGGTCCAATGCTAGCAGCACCTGGCAATGGTCAATGAGCTTGACAACTGTCTGATAGATAGATTTTCGTGCATCTACAAATAAATTCAGGGTCAACTTGCATTGGTTAATCTCTTCCTCCAAAATACACTGATTACTTATGAAGAGAGGATTAGGGTAGAGTTACCTTTTATAGTGCACAGTCAGAGTTGATAGCTAGACTAAGCTAAGAACTCTAGCTTACCAAATCCTTGTTATTCATTGGGTAAGGGTCTCTTTAGCACAGAAATGTGCTGCATAAATAAAGATGAGCCATAATCTCTATTCCAAACTCACAAACCAGTAGGGGGAAATCTTTTTAAATCATCAACTACAATGTAGCTTGGCAAGTGTTATTATGCAAGCTGTCTGAATAAGAACTCTCGTAAGAGGGTACAGAATTATCTCTTCGTGAAGCAGTCAAAAATACTTCACAGGGTTGAATGTAAATGTACACGTGTGCTTAACAACCTCACTCATGCTAACATTAAGACATGAGGACGGCCTCAGCAAAAGCACAAAAGAAAGACAGTAGTACATGGGCATGTCGGAGAATGGAATAACATGGGCTATGGTTGCACTGTATACCAAAAGGCTCCAAATGCAAATGTTTGTGGAGTTCAAATGAAAGTCAAAAAAGGAGAAAACTGAAACTGATGAGGTAAATGACACTACATCTCACTGTCTGAAAGGTGTGAAGATATGTGGTAAACCAGAAGACTTGCCCATTTAAGAAAAGTAGAGGAAAAGTAGAGGACGGAGGCTCAGCCGTTGCTGTGCAGAAACCTGTGCACATAGCTTCCTGATTTTTCAAGTGAAGACAGAAGCCCAGATTTTCATCCCGATTTTAAACATGTATTCTAATTAAGAACAATTATTAAAACATTACACAAGCCAAACTGAAGTAAATCTGTAGACAAGCTGCCTGCCTACAACCTCAGACGATGCCTGTGAACTGGAGGAAACACTAGCGAGGCAGGCAAGGCTGTAGACAACCTGGAATATGACGCTAATGAGTTTAAACTCCACACTGACAGCTCAGGCATCAAGAAAGAAGATGAGCAGACACATATTAAAATAAGGTGAGCACACACTTATCTCAGAGAAGCACTTCTCTAAAGACATTCTGAAGAATGTCATGTCCCTGGTTTGATCCTGAGGTTTTGGCAACCTCCCCTCAAAAGCGAGGAAGGGAGGTACTATTTAAAGTGTTTCATTAACGGTGCAAAGGACAAGGATTATAGAAGAGCCTGAAAGTGGGACAGACCAGTTATGAGGTAATAACATCTGTCCATATGAGAAATAAGGAAGGCCTCGCCAGCAAAAGAAATAGCAGAAAATGGCCTTAAAGGCACAGCTCAGTGATAGACTGAATTTAGGGATGGGGGGAAGAGGAAGATGGTACAGTAAAAAGCAGCAGGAGGGTACAGTACTCAAATACCAAGTGTGGGACAGAGCTCTGCCTCGTCAGTATTCTTAATGCTGGGGTCTTCATCTGGGTGGGTTTTATTGTTTTTGTATTTTTAGTATTTGTCATGGATTTCTCAGAAACAGTAGCATTCTTCTCCCAAACCAAATATGGCTATTATTACAGCAACTTTAAAAAAAAAAGCAGTCTTTAAGTAATTAAATAGGATGCTTTCTAAACGTCTAAGGAACCTGCTACAACTATAAGAGAATGAATTCAGTTTGGTTAAGAAGAGAAAAAAATCTACCCCAGTAATAAAGGTCACCTTTACATGGATGCTTAGGATTCCAGCCTGATCAATCATGCAGACACTGACATTCCGAATCGTTAGGGTGTCAGCTTTCTTTACATGGCTTTTCTTATACAGAATTTTCTGCAAAATAGTTGTAAAGGATTGGAATTTTCATGAAAATTTTTTTTCCTAATAAATCTGACATATTTCTTTTAGGAAGCTTCACCTCTGTGATTTAATTGTTTCGGTTCATAAGTCTGGCATAATACTGTCCATCAGTCAGTATTTTCAGATACCTTTTTCTGTCAAGTCAGAAATTTACTTCCTCATTTTTAATGCTAATATACAAACTGAACAATAGGTGATACCACACTAAACTATGCCGCCCCTCACAAAAGGGAAATTAAATGATGATCCCTGAGGATACAGGACAGAATAAAATCAAACTTTGCTTCTATGCATGTGCACAGTTGTATCAAAATTCAAAAGTTATGATAACGGATACTCGGGTGAGTGAGCAAGCTTAATCATCTGATCGTCTATATAAGGCCTCCCGGAACTATCAAACTAACAGTATGTGATAAGGAGACACAGCAAAGCCTGCAATAGAGTTCAGAAGGACAAGAAATAGAAATGGAAAGAAGAACTTGGATGACCACAGGAAGATGGTAGGTGGGCTGGCACACAGCTAATGAAACAGCTGTGAAATAGCTGTGAAATACGGTAACCTAAGCTGACTTTTAAAAACTCATATTGTTTCTTCTCTATGACAGAATCATGCTATCTCTCCTTGCCCCTCACACTGGAGTCAGTTACATACTGGCCCAATTATATATTTCTGTGCAGCAGAATACAAACAATACAAGCTTGGTTTCATACGGTGCTACTTTCTACCTCCACATTATTGAAACTTATGATGTGGTGATGGACTAGAACATTAAAGTGGGTCTAAATAAATAAAAATAATTTTACATTTAATGTGTCTTACATTTAAATGTGTCTAAACTTACATTTAAACGTGTCTAAACTTATACATTAAAGTCTATGCCATACACTTAGGTCATGCAATCAAATTATGTTTGAGTTTAGGCATGGCCTTCTCGTCAGAATACGAACCAAGTGAATTACACAGAAAATAGAAACTACTCCTAATTAAAGCTTCAACCCCACTTTTCCGGTCTAAACAGGGAAAGGTACTACTTAACCTATTATGACAGCATGTTAGGGTCAGTGCTGAGAGGAATTCAGGGAAATCATGATACTCTTTATCCCCTATCCTTAAAGAGACTAGCACTCAACTGTAAACTTCCAGAATAATGGGACCATTTACCATTCATTCTTATTCTTCAGAGTACTTATAACAGCTTCTGGTATGAGTAGGCTCTTGATAATGGCTATTGAACTGGTAATTACATTCTCTGGGGAAACAGTTCTTGTTCAAAATCAGCCTACAGCCACAAGGAGCACTTTTAAAGGTACAGAAGAGGACAGTCTTAGATGTGTACTCTCCCCCACAAGGTGAGACTTGAGGTGAGCCCAAAAGATCACCAGAATTTGTACACATGGAAGTTTAATACAGAATACCAAAAAACAGAAATGTGGGATAATTACGAATGTTTTGATGCAGTAAAGAATTATTTTAAGAAGTAAAAGAAGAAAATGTTGGGATAGTTCTTCTTTTGCTCATTTCATTTTTTTAAAAAAGTTTTTGGCACCAGGAATTGAACTGAGGACTTTGTGCTTGCCAGCCAAGGGCTGTGCTGCTGAGCTATATCCTCGGCCCCTTTGCTCATTTCAGTGCAGGAGTAAGACTCAGAAAGCCAGAGCTCAAGTAAGATTCACAGCGTAATGGCCCACTCATAAATCACTGCGCTGGATCATACCATAACTACCACCATGATGATGATATCTCCACCATCTCATTTGGATTGCTACAAAAACAAGTTCTACTGTCCGTAAAATACGCAAATATCACAAACCAGAAGGTGGGACTGTAGGGAATAAAAGCCTCTTCCAAGATAATCAAACTCTTTTTAAGCCTGAATGCTTTTTTGAGAGAGGATGCTTTCCTCAAATAAAATCTTACAAATGACCCTACTATATCAATAGATAAAGTAAGAATTGCTTTGGCTGTAGCCAGTAGCCTGGAATCTGGTCTAAGGGACCGCCACATAATCACTGCAGCTGTAAAAATGGAAAACTAACAATCTAGTTGAAATTCTTCACGTGAGGAGAGATGTTAAACACCTGCGCAGGCAGTGAAGGGAAGAGCCAAAACTAGACTCACAACACCCAGAGCAGGGTTCTTTCCACTATATTCCATGCCGCTGCTAAAAACCAGAAGAAGACACGGTTCATACTTACCATCTTTGTTCAGCCACTGCTTTCTTGTCCTGTACAAAAGGAGTTTGTTGTGGACGTACGGTAAAAGAAACTTGACACACCAGCTCTCCACTCCGAGTTTGTTTTCAACCAGTACTATGGGACTCCGGTTATACCTTGCTTCAGGACATGGAATCAGGCCAATTTCATCTCTTAATACACAAAACATAACAAAGAATTAAAGGTAATACTGGCCTCCTCAAAATTTTTTTATCCCCCCCCCACATATTTCCCTTTCTTTAAAATATCATTTACCTTACCTACTATAGCAAAAAACCAAAAAATATAAAATTTGGTGGTAATGGCAGAATATGGGAAAAACAGTGTGATGGATTACTGCTGCCAATAAGACTAATCACTCCTCTCATCTTTGAACGGCAATTTGAAAATCTCTCAAAATTTTGAATACTGTACTGTATTCAATAATTCCACTAACTGGAATTGATCCTATCCTAAAAATATGAATATAATGTTCATTGCAACTAAACAGGAACCAATCTAAATGTTTATCAATGTAAGAACATCAAAAAAAGGATGTAGCCCATCCATGTGCCAGACTATTAAAAAAATTAAGTAGATATGCATATGTTAGCATAGAAAGATTACCAAGGTATGCTGAATAAACGAAAAGCAGAATACTGAACACAATATACAGCACAAAGCCTTTTGTATAATTTTCTATTTAAAAGATACATAGTTAAGTTAAAAAAAATTTTTGGGAAGGACATTAAGCTATCCAGAGAAGAATATATTTAGGAAGGATTTTATTTTTATAGAATTTACACTTTTAATGTCACTTGTATTATTCCTATTTTTTTTAGATGTAAATAAATGTTGTTTGCCTGCTAATACATGTGGAACAGAAACAAATTATCAATTAAAATTATGTTGTCGGTGAGACTCTGATAATCTTTTTCCTATTTTTTACATTTAGTGTTTTCCAAATTTTTGTTTAAATTTTATTTTTCTTAGTAAATGTTCGCAGTCCGTAATGATTACACTCGTGATGGGGAGTTAGTACATGTACATAACACACTTTAATTCTTTTTATGTCCCCTTCCCCTTTTTCCCTCCCTCTTCCTCCATCTCTTCGTCAGCTTCTGATCTGTAAAAGATCCACGTCTGTTTCCTCTATACTTTTCTATATCTTAAAAAACACCCTAATCAATGTCAAAACACAAAATTCATTTCAGAATTTGATCATTCTGATCTATAGTCACATCTGTATCCTTCAATCCACCTCAACTTTTAGGCTGAAAACTTGTACTGCAGGCAGAAATTTAATAACTAATATGTAGGACGTCTGACTTACCACAGTAAGCAATACAGATGTTTTTGCCTAGCCTGCCTCCCCACATTTCAACTATAAAGCTATAATTTCTGCTTTCATAGAGCATCCTTTCTCAAAGAGAAAACTCGTTTGTTTAATGGGTAACTCTTAATAGCAAGAATTGCTGCAATAAGTAATATTTTGAATATTTATATTTTTAAATATATCTTTAAAAAACAAAATAAAACACTGATTTTCAGAGTTTGTGTGTGGCACTACATTTTAAGTCACTGGTATTCCACTGTCAAAACATAATGACAGATGCAGTCTGGGGAAACCAGCTCAATCACAGGTTATAAGAAAACAAATCTCTTGTTTTTTTGGTTAGGTCACTGTCATCAATTGGGAGGAAGCAGTAGATCTCAAATAAAATTTCTCCCAGAAACGCAAACCTGGATAGCTCTAAGGTAACCTTTCTACCGATCACTGCAGTAGAGGCACAGGGAGATATCAATAACAAAGGGAACTCTGAAGGATACAAGTCACTAAAATTCCTTCGAACTAATTTAACTCCAAAAAGGTATTTTGTCCTGACAAACACGTTCAGCAGATTCAAAGGTGCTCCCAAATACCTTGTCAATCGTACTTCATATATTAGTATCTGCAATGTTATTTTTAGATTCTCAAAATACAAAAATGAATGAAATAAGGTGGCCTCAGACTTCAAAGAGCTAATAGTTTTTTGAAGAGTTGTCAGTATTTTTGATAAAATGTTATCACTTTGTCCCTCCAGTTATATAAATAAAATATCTATAGGAAGAACAGGAGCAATGTTGAGAAGGCATCTGAGGTCAATGTCCAGTATTTAAAAATATGTATTTCCATTTATATTTGGTGATATTAACCTTGAAATAAGTGAGACTCACTGTTAGGGTTACTCACTGAATCTAGTATACCAGACTAATGTATTTTCTGGTGTTCAGGTTTTACTATATAAAGTGGGCCATTAAAAACAAAACAAAACAAACAAGAATTAAAGAAAAAAATCCTCAATCTAATTTTTCAGGAAATTCTTTCTTCCGAGATCTAACAACCACTAATAACACTTCAAAGAATTGCAAAAGCCAAAAGTATAAATGTTATAGTAACAAGAATAAAAGAATCCTGGCTTCTGGGCATAGTCTGTTTTAAATTAAATTCCCAATGTAAAAGCATTAATTGTACCAGAAATAAAATGCCCAACTACTAATTTGGTACCTAAATTACATGACAAAACCATCAGCACAATTAAAAAAACACACTACCCTTTTAAGAAACACTTCTAAAAACAAAAACACATTGGAGATAGCAGGTACTCAATAACTGCTTATAGAAAAACATTATTCTAGTACTTCAGTAATAATATTCAAACTGTTTTCAAAGGTTGTCACTTTTTAATCCTACAAAAGAACACTACCTCTGATTTTCTGTAACAACACCCTGTACTAAAAACAACATGAGACATATATAATGCCACTTTCGCCTCTACAGATCTTTCTTCATATACAGAAAGGCAGAACTGCATTATATCTCCAATAAAGGAATGGGGCAGACCTTATCCATCCAAGAGAAACTCGACAGTTATTTGTATGTTAGAAAAATGAAAATAGTTATAACAAAAAATGTCAAGCCTTAGGAAAAAAACAAAAACACACGGGAAGAGTAGTAGTAACATGCACAGACAAAAACAGGAATGTAACCAGTTTCTCCTTTATACCACTGACAGGTAAATCGTTCGGTCACTTGCCGTCAGGATGCCCATCTAAAACACAGGAATAATACCTTCTCTTGCTTGTAATGAAAAGCAAACTCTTCTTTTAAGATACTGTAGGTCAGTCGGGAAAGTGCTCTGGTTAATAGATAATGGAAAGCTGGGGCAAAGAATGTTAAACCTTTGTCAAGTTACAGGACCCCAAGATATAGTGGTGTGTTGCTTCCTAAAATATGTAATATTTACTTTATAAAGATAATAGATCAGTAAGTTTCCAAATAACAATGTGTTTGATTTCAGCCTTCTATGCCTATATTCTTAGGTCACAGGCCACTTTTTCAGGTTTTTTTTTTTTTTTTTGAGACAGAGTCTCACTATGTAGTGCAGGCTGGCCTTGAGCTCGCTTAGGTAGCCCAGGTTGGCCTCACACTCTTGTGATCCTCCTGCCTCAGCCTCCTGACTGCTGGGATTATAGGCGTGCACCACCATGCCTGGCAGATAAATCTGAGCAGAATTCGAGACGTTCTTTCTCTAGGTTTTCACTTTACCAGATGAGGAAACTGAGTTACAACGCGGTTAAAGGGGTTATCTAAGATCACATTGCTAACTAAATTAAGAATCTGGGCCTTCTAGTACTTATCCTGAAGCTCTAGACTGAAGAGCAAATCAGTATTTAGAGTAATTCCCTCTGAGTTTCTGGCAGTTTAAATTCTACCTTCATAACCAAAAAAGAGGTGGAAAACTCAGGAAAAACAAACTAAAAGCCATTTGTCACCACAGTCAGCATCTGGATATCTATCCTTTTTTCGTATTTTATAAAAAGTAGGATCACACTGAATATAATCCTCTTTTTTTTAAACAAAACTTGGCCATTCACTTACATTTTCTTACATAATTACTCCCCCCCACCACTGGGAATCGAACTCACGACCTTGCACCTGAGCTAAATCACCAGCCCCTACATAATTACTTTTAATGGCTGCAGTGAATGTGCTATAAGTACCAAATACATTTCTAATTATTTCCTCAAAAATAAGAGGAATTTGTGATGCTTTCACCACCAGGATATTTCACTGTTTTATAGTTAAGTTTCTAGTCATTTAAGAATGCTGGTATTTATCAGTGTGCTCTAGTAAATACTACCCAAATTACCAACATCACAAGATTTTTAAAGATATCAAGGTTTGGGACCACACTGGAGTTCTGACCTGCTAATAAAAGAGATACCATAAGGCTTATTTCTTAGGTTACTTTTCCAGGTTGCTAAAAGCAGCCAGTAAATTCACTTAAGATCATACACAGTATGAAACATCTCTGAGTGCCTCGCTTCACAACGGGCATATCGGCTTCCAGATGAAGTTCAGCATTCATATTACATGGATTTTTTTTTTTTGGTTTTTCTCCGGTACCGGGAACCGAACTCACAACCTTGCGCTTGCCAGGCAGGCGCTTTTGCCGCTGAGCTAAATCCCCAGCCCCAATATTACATGGATATTGACTCTGTTCCTTACTGAAGACACCTGTCTATCCAGTTAGTAAGTAAAAGGGTAAGTAAGGATCAGATCCCGGACTTTCAAACTCTGAATCCAAACTTTCACAACTATACCACTGTTTAAATAAATACAAGTAAGTAAATCAAATGTAAGACTACGAGACTATCTGACTTCCTATTCTTTAATTCAATCCGCAGGCAAACTAAAACTACCATTTATTATCATTCCCTTATGCAAAATTTCATTAAAGCCTATCTACTGCTTAGAAGGTATATTTTCGGAGCTGGACGTGGTGGCACATGCCTATAACCCCAGCACTCAGGAGGTTGAGGTAGGAGGATCATTGCGAGTTCGAGGCCAGCCTGGGCTACAAAGTGAGCTCAAGGCCAGCCTGAACTGCATAGCAACACCCTGTCTCAAAAGGACAAAAACAAAAAACAAAAAAAACCCCAAACTATATTTTCCCTAAGCCCAACTATTCATTCCTCATGTCTCAATGTAAATGCTATTTCCTCAGAAAAAAACTAAACAAGCCTTCCTTGTTATTATTTATTTCAAAATATCTTTCTTACCCTTTTTGAGCCTTCTCAATTTGCGTTTTGAATTCTTAAAGTTCCAATAAGGATAGGGACTATGTCTGTTCTGTTACCAATCTAGTCCCAGCTCCGAGCCCCACCCAACATATTCAGAGAGCAGTATGTTATCATGATGTGGCTTTTTTGGTTAAGTGTATGAACAGAATAAAAGAAATTAGGCCAGAGTCAAGAACTTCCATAATCCGTTCTACAGTATCCTCTAAATCACATTTTTCTACTTTTGATCAATTCCCTGCTCCCAGTAGAGGTCTCTGGCTCCCTCTGACACGTAAGACCTCTTAAGAGTCCTGCCCCAGACTTGCCAGCCTCCTTTCTACTCCTAAGGGACTCTCAGTCAAGTGCTCACCATACTACAACCTTTACCCTGAACTGCTCTGCAGAATTAATTTACTGTTCATACATGTAGGTTTTAGGCTTCTGCATATAGACGCAAACTGTGAAATCCACTAGTCATTGGGCATATAGGATCACTCCACATAGATATATTAAATTTAAAAATTCAGTGCCTCATTCACATTAGTACATTTCAAGGGCTTAATCGGTACACATGGATAATACAGCAGTTCTAGAACATTTCCAACATCATGAAAATTCTGAATGTCTTCATACAAGCAGTATTTTATACTTCTTCCTGGCCTATACAGTGAAGATGGCACCTTTAGCAACTCAAAAGAGCAATTAAATATTCGATAAACAAAACACATTCATTAAGTAAAACAAAAAGCAGCCCACAACTTGCTGGGTAAGAGAGATTTAACACGACCCTAGTTACACTGCAAATAGCCGTCTTCCACATGAACACAGGATCTGTACACTACGACGGTAATGCCCATGGACACTAGGATGGATAACACCCATCCCTGGGTCAAGTACGATTCTCTGACAGTCAAATGTGTGGAGACTCAACAACACTTTGTTGGTTTGGTATGGCATTTTCCAGTCTGCAAAGTGCTTCACATTCATGTGAGGAGATTTTCCTGTGTTCTCATCAGTCTTACAAGATCAAGAGGAAAGAAACAAAGGCTGAAAGATGGTAACCTGTCCAGATCTGACAGCAAGAAATACTACGTCTCAGTGCATCTTAGGCTGCTTCTGGCTGGATATTTCCATACAGACAAAGTCAATATACTTAATAAAATAGATGTTGAAAAACTTATCATCTACCTCATGTCTGGAGAAAAACAGGAAAAAACTTTTAAAAAAAAATTTATAACACTGTAGTTAGATACTAACTTTGTTTTTTTTTTTTGGTTTTTCTCCGGTACCGGGAACCGAACTCACGACCTTGCGCTTGCCAAGCAGGCGCTTTTGCCGCTGAGCTAAATCCCCAGCCCCAGTTAGATACTAACTTTAAAGGTAAACAACATTTTTTTGAAAATCCCACTATAAGACACTTTAAACTACACATAGTAAATTACTGAAGATTTTCTACTGTAAAGAATAGGTACCAAAATAGATATTGACTAATATTAAATCACAAATTAAAGACATAATACCTATTATTTCAAATTACAAATGCCCAACATCTCAAACTGTTAAATCTTGAGTGATCCAAATGATTACAAGTTATATATTAATGGAGAATATGTTAATGATATTTCACAGTAAAAATACAAAGGAACATTATAGTCCTTTATGAGGTTTGATAAATGTGATCCAGAAGAACTGGGACGTGTTTCAAATTGCAGGGTCAACCTACAAACCAATTAACAGCTGCAGTTTTTTCAAATATGATACTCCTTTAATCTACCTCAAAGAAGGGAAACTAACGTGATTAGTGTATTAGACTTCTAACTTCTGTATTTCTTGTGGAAAGTAATACCAATGATCAGAAAACAGGCCCTTCATTCTCCCAACTTGTTTTGGAGGATGTCTCTTATGTGGAGAGACTGACACACAACAAGGCATCAAAGCATTCTTTGGAAGGCCCAACAACCACCATGGTTACTGCCAGGAAATCACTCCAAACACTCATTTTGAAAAGGGCAGCAGCCGATACGCAGGAAGGAAGAGGAGGACGCTGTCAGAGGTGGCAGGTGTGTTTTGAGGTCAGCAGTGTTTTGTTTTTAATAAAGCACACAGCTGCAGGTCTCCCACTGTACACCACAAGGGAGCAAGACATCGGAGGGCTCCATTCTCTCATAAGCATCGCCGTGGTGGAAAAGAACCCTTTATTTAGATGGAGGATTGACATTTCTTTCATGCAAAAAAAGCTGAAGGGGTTGGGATGCTTAAAGAGAATAATTCATGTGCTCCAGTTTAAAGGATAAATTATTAAAACTAAATCTCATAAATAAAAATAATGTAAAAGTGGATTTCAGATTCTTTCCCCAGGGAGGAAGAGGGATGGGAAAGGAGCTACACGCTTGCTGCTTCCTCATAATGTTGTAGATAACTCCTAATAGCTTCCTTTTCACTCGTCACGTAAGGGAAAAGTGTCAGAAAGTGTACGACAGTGTGTTGTCTTCGGAGACTTCAAGCAAAAGGGAAATAAGGAGGTAGAGACGCGTGTTTCCGTTCCACAGTAACCTGATAAAGAGGGCAGCGGTGCAGGGATAAAAATGTTACCACGCTCCCTCCTAACTATGAATCAGCTTATGCTAAAAAGTGTCCAAGTTTCATCCGCCTTACTCCACACACACCGTTCTACAGCGCTTACAGTTTTAAGAACGCTGTTTACATTCAAAGCACAATGTTTTATCAGAGTCACTGACAAGGGAGTAGAAAGTCAAAAGTAGCTTCGGAGTACCTTTAGTTAGTAAACTGAAGGTTTAGGGCTCTGTTTTTGTTTTTGTTGGTGAATAACAGGAAGATCGGTAACGCTCTTAGCGACGCCGGGATGCACCTCCAAAGAGTTGCGTGCAGAAGCACAGCCAGCTCTACACCGTCTGCGCTGCAGACCTTACACGCAGGCAGCTACGGATCTACGGCCGAAGTCGTCCGAGTTTCGCCAACTCCCGGGAAAGGGTGGGGAGGGAGAGGGAAACAGAGTCCTTCCGTTTGGGTTTCCGAGGTCACCTGCAGGGACGCGCCCCGGTAAGGCAAAGGCAGCCCGGCGGCGCCGACAAAGGTCCGCCCGACCGCGCTCCGCTCCCCGGCGGGCTCCTGGGCCGGGAGCCCGGTCCGCCCGCCGCCCAGCTCCGCTCCCGGAGGGGCCCGGCCGCTCCCACGCCACGACCCCCAGGGGCGGAGGAGGCGCGCGACTCACATGTGCGGGTTCCTCCTGAAGGCATTGGTGATGTCCTTCACTACCCGCTGCACCAGCACCGCCACCTCCTCGCTCGTCTCGGCCATGTTGGCGGCGGCCGCGGCGGCTAGAGCGCGCTCCGGGAGAGCGATCCGCGGGCGGGAGTGCGGGCGCGCGCC